CGATGGGAGGCCCGGAAGGGCGGCAACGCTGGCCTGGGAAGTGGGGAGGGGCAGCTGTGGAGGAGCAGGCGGCTCCCTGGGGCCCGGAGGGAGGAGGTGCCTCCCTCAGGGCGGCTCAGTGATGCTCACGCTGCTGCTGTGCCGCTTTCAGCCGGTTTCCGACCCCTAGAACGCTAAGGGAGTGAACGGGTGTTACTTCACCCCTCAGTTTGGAATCGTTCGCTGTGTCATTAATAGGACACAGGTGCACCTATCCTGATCCCGAAGATACCACACGGAAGAAAAACTTCAAATTTTATTCATAAGTATAGATGCAAAAGTTCTAGGGGCCGGGGACTCACCTCAGTGGTTCCGGTGCCTGTTTGATCCCCGGTACCAAAAAAAAAAGTTCTCAACAAAATATTAGCAAGTTGTCCAGGCATGGTGTCACAGGCCTATAATCCCAGCTACATGGGAGGCTGAGGCAGGAGGATCACAAGTTTGAATCCAACCTGTGCAACTCAGCAATTTAGCCAGACCCTGTCTCAAAATAAAAAATAAAATTGGATGGGGATGGAGCTCAGTGTGAAGGCCCTAGATTCAGTCCTCACCACTGAGGAAGAAAAGGAAAATGACTAGGAATGAGTTCAACAAGTTCGCAAAATATAAGAGAAATTACACAGATTTTGCCAGGTGTAGTGCTGCAGGCCTATAATCCCAGTAACCAGGAGGCTGAGGCCAGCCTGAACTACACAGCAAGGGTCTCTCTCAAAAACTGAAAGAAAAGCACACAAATTTTATTTCTCTAGCCCAGCATGAACGATAAAGTTAAGGAACCAATTTCATGTGCAATGTCATCAGTATTCAGAAACACATGGACAAAAAGAAATGCAGAACTTGTACTGAAAAACATGAAGCACTGCGGAGAAATAGTAGCGGTCTAAGGAAGTGAAGAGCAGTGCCACAGCGTGCCCACCGCCACCACCCGGGCCGGGGGTGCCAATGGACCCTCACCCACCACGGCCCTGCCACCACCAAAGCATTGCAGGTCTGAGCTGCCGCTGGCACCAACAGAAGACCTTGGCAGACAGGAAAGCAGGCGGAGGAAGTGCTGGGCGTGAGGGTCAGCGTGGAGGGTGGACACCTGAAGCCCCGACTCAGCTGGCCGTGCAGATGCCCCAAAGGCAGGCGCTGCAAACACTGTGGACCAGCTGCAAGGGAGGCACTGGGGGTCCCATGCTGGGGGCTGCTCACCGCGCCTCCTGAAAACGCCGGAAACCCAAGGCTCGCCATTCAGGAAACCTCTTCCAGACTTTCCAGACCGAACCTCTTAGTTATCAGGCCAACCTACTGTCATTTCTAGACTGATTGCTTTTGCTAGTTCACGTAAAGTTCAGTTCCTAGGGAAATAAATATAGTGATACCTGAGTTGTCGAACTCAATTCGTTCCAATTTGGATTCCAACACTGAAAAGTTTGAGAACTGAACGTATTTTTGCTATAAGAAATAATGGAAAACCAAATAATTGGTTCTAAAACCCCAAAATTACACTTATAAATTCATTTTCTCAGGACTTTCACACATTTTGCAATGACTTCTTTCTTTAACTTTATCGCAGTTCTCACTGTTCCTCTTAGCTTTCCTGCTGGTATCATTAACTCATGTCCCTGGTGAGATGTGACCCACTCCCTGCCTGTACAGATTTTTCAAGTTGGATTTTCTGTTTGACTATCAAGCAAAGTAACAAAACACGGAGCAGATTTTCTTCAAACTTCGCTTGGAGCCGTTCGACCACTGAGGTTGCTCTGTAAAAAAAATAACTGAAGAGAAATTCCATAGCTATGGATCAAAACCTCAACACTGTTAATACAGCAATTCTTTACCCCTAGATTGATCTCTGGAGCCAATTTCTACCACTGCCTGGACAGCTCTGTTCTGTCCCAGAAACTGACAGCCTGATCCGAACATCTGCTCAGTAAGGCGAGTGCCCAGGATGGTCAGAACAGACTTGAGCAACATTACTCACATCAGCTACTCGACGGCAAAACTGTGAAACTCAGTGGCCAAGAATGCAGTGCTGATCAGTACGGCAGGGCAGAGAGGCCAAGCGGAGACTGTTACTCAGGATGGAGGGTCTGAGGACAGTGGGAGGGTCAACGGCCGCAGTCCCACAACTGAGTCCAAACCCAACGTGGCACCTCTGAGAAGCACTTTACAGCAGGATTGAAGTTTGCAGCCAGGCATGGTGGTGCACACCTGTGATCCCAGCACCTAGGGAGGCTGGAGCAGGAAGAGGCCCTTGAGTTCAAGGCCAGCCTGGGTTAAGTTCAAAACCAGCCTAAACTAGATAGCAAACCAACAAAACAAACCAACAAGGGCCAGGGATGTAGCTCAATTGAACATGGTGCCTGCCTCCAAGCACAAGGTCCTGAGTACGATTCCTGGTACAAGAAAAAAACAATCAAGGAGAACAAACTGGAAAGCTAAATTCGAGAAATGAACTGGCCCCAAGTGCGAGTTGTGAAGGAAACCAGGCGGCAGCTCCCTGAGCAGCTGGTGGTAAGGGTTGGGGACAGGGAGGAGTGCAGGGGGAGGGGCCCCTGGACAGCAGGTGCAGCTGTGCTCGCTGGGGAAACTGAGTCCACTCCTGCTGCCCGTTTCACTGCACTCACCGCCCAGGACGGCAGGGGGTCTGAGAATCAACCTGACCAAACAGCAAGGACCTCTGCAGAAAATGACAAAACATGGAGGAAAGATGCCAAGTGAGGTCTTAAACAGCTCACAGCACCAAGACATCCACAGCCCCCAAACTAATCAGTGCAACTCTAACCATGCCTACAAGGCTCTTCCAGAGAACCCGGCAACACTAAGTTCTCCGAGAAAGGCCTACAGACACCGCAGAGATTGTCCAAGATCGGAGGTGGCACACTGGGCGGCTTTTTGTCCACGTGACCCCTGAGAAACAGAAGAGGAAAGGCTGAGCTGGCTCCTCGCGTTAGAATGTCCTGGTGGAAGGGCTGGCAGAGGGAAGCTGCAGCTCGGGGTAGCCAGGAAGCGGAGAGAGCCCAAGAAAGGGTCAAGGCCACCCGCCTCCTCCAGCAGGCCCCTCCTGAGAGCCTCCTGGGCTGGGATCTGATCACTGGTTCAGTTCCCCATGGGCTCGCAGCCAGGATCCAGTCTGCCCTCCGGGCCACCTCCCACGGCAGCCCAGCCAGGAATTCCTCGGGGGCTTGGACCCCGTCCAGCCACCTGAAGAGCACACTTCGTTAAGGGTCACGCTGTGATCTCTGCCAGTCTCGGGACTCACTGCGCGCAGAGCTGTGGTGCCCACGGCGTCGGGTTGGCATGGAGAAAGCGGAAAGCCTGGGCAAGCAGTAATCAGCGCCCACAAACCCACCCAGATCCTCACAGGATCTAACAGCAGAAGCCACAAGGTGTCTTCCATACCAAACCCACTCAACAAAAACGTAAGCTCAGTAAAGATGAAGTAGGACAATGATGTCTTCTGTGTGGGCTTAGAGGAAAGGGCAGGATTGAAACGATGCGGCTGAGTGGGGCTGAACAGGCGCTCGGCCCTGTGCCATCCAGGTGTGGGTGACAGGTAGGTGAGGTGTTCACGTGAAACGTCCATGTCAATTAAGGAGCAAAGTAGCACACCAGGGAGGGGGAGCGGGGGATAGCTGCCAAAAAGGAAGAAAAAAGAGTCAGGCATGGTATGACACACCTGTAATCCCAGCTACTCAGGAGGCTGAGACAGGAGGATCGTAAATTTGAGCCCAGCCTGGGCAACTTAACAAGGGCTTGTCTCCAAATGAAAAATAAAAAGGGCTGGAGATGTGGCTCAATGTGAACACCCTTGGTTCAGCCCCCAGGACTTTGGGGAAGAAAGTAGAAAGTAGAACACCTGAAAGGCACAGAGTCAAGTTATGGGAACTTAGCAATAGTTACAATAAATGTAAATGGACTAAGTTGGCAGCTCAGAGACCAGGATTGTCATTTGATTTGTTGAAAATCCAACTACTTGCTCTTTACAAGCAAGGAGAGTAATTCCCAGACACTCACTGCCTTCATTACTGAGACAAAACAGGCTTTAAGAAAAAGCTGCTCTTGGGCCGGGGATTTAGCTCAGTGGTTCCACCGCCTGCCTTGCTAGCACAAGGTCCGGAGTTCAAGCCCCAGTACCAAAAAAAAAAAAAAGAAAGAAAGAAAAAGAAAAAGCTGCTCTTAGAGACTGGACAACTACAGGTGACACACAGGGGACACCGAGGTCAGCATGCTACACAAAGCCACTCGTTGTCATGCTCAGGGTGATCTGATTGGCCAGCAGCTCCCGCAGCCAGCTCTGGGAGTCTATCCACAGCACCTGTCTAGGACAGAAAGGAAAATCCTTTTTTAGTTGCTGTCAACATGGCTGAGAGATAACTAGGTTAGTACAGCACACTACTGGCAGTGTCTGGGTGAGTCACGGGGTGACACCCTGGTGACTCCATCTGGTCCCTGCCCCTTCCTCCCTGGTTCCCCTGTGCTCAGCCTCCTGACTGCCATGAGGTGAGCAGCTTTGCTCCGCAAGGCCTTCCCACCATGTTGTTGCCTTGGAGCAGCCAACCAGGGACTGAAGCCAGCAGAACCATGAGCCACAAATGAACCTCCCCTCTTCCAACTCATGGGTGCTGGGCATTTTGTCAGTGACAGGAGTCTGACTGATAAGCCTGAGCTGTGAGTGCCCTTGGCACTATCAGCTCGCCAGGCCTGCAGGATTTTCATCTCCAGGTGTTTCTCAAAAATTTAAAAATTTAGGGGATGTAGCTCAGTGGTGCTGCGCTTGCCTGGCAAGTGCAAGGTCCTGAGTTTGATCTCTGGTACCAAGTAAAAAATTTTAAATTTAAAGCCAAATTAGTATGGCCTAGTCACGTGGAGTTTTAGAGAACCTGATAAATCTACCAGTAGGTAGAGATACTTCAGCATGCCTTTCTCAGTTATTAATAGGTCAAGCAGACAAAAAACCAAGACAAAAGGACACGTTGAATTTGAGCCACATGATTTATTAACAAGTGTGATACAATCAGCTCACTGTGCCAAGTGCACATTTCTCTTAAGCACAGAAATCGACTTCGCTAAAACAGTCTAGAAATAAATAAAATCCCACAAGTCTCAGCAGACACTCATGGGTGCTGTTGGCTTCATGGAGAACACACATCCTGCCTGCCCGCCAGGTGATACCTCCAGGCCAGTGCTGGGCAGGGCAGGGCAGTCCTGGGGGCCCTTCTGGGGGGTGGTGAGGCCCTCAACATCACACCCTGCAGCATCAACTCAAAGCCACTGGGGTGCAGAGCTGATGCCCAGCACCATGGGCTGGGAGAGGTTGGGCCTGGCCCAAAGGGCAAAGATTTCTACCCCCACCCCCAACCTGCAACCAGGGCCCCAAGGGTGGAGGATCCTGACCCTTCCCAGGCCAGGGGCTGTGCTGGGCTCAGCCAGGTGACTGCTCACTCTGCCCAGGGACATGGACCCAGATCCCTCACATGCAAGGAGGGCTGGCTGGGGCCGTGTTCACAGGGCCCTGAGGGCACTGGAGAGTGAGCTCCCCAGGGGACACTGGCTTTGCTAGTTCCAGGAAGGGGGGGCTCACACCAGGGACACCATGCACACAGCTCAGGCTTCAATCTCAGGGGGCACTGCCACCACCAGGCCCCTTCCCTCACCCCACCAGGTCTGCGTCCTCATCAGTGTCAGCACACCTGTCATGCACTCCTGCAGGGCGGGGTGAAGCTGAGCACTGCAGCCAAAAGGTGAGTCACAGCACCAAGGCCACCCAAGAACCAGCTCCAAGCAGCTCTTCTCTAAAGCCCGAGCCAGAAAGGCTCCCCAGGGACAGTGTGAGCACCCTGGGGACCGTCGGGGGGCATCTTGGGCATCAAAGGCCATGGGCACTGGAGACAGATGTGCAGCTGCACCAACCGCTGTGCACTGGTCCAGGCCCCACAGCCCCACAGCCCCACAGCCCAGCACATCAGCCTCGCGCTCCTGGCAATGCTGCAGACAGGGCTTGGCCACTGCCACAACAGCCTTTAGGGCTGTGACCCTACTGGGGCCATCTCCAGGGCGAGGGGCCAGGGAGCAGCAGGCGGATCCAAGGTCGGGCCCCCCCACTCAGGCCCACTATCACTGTCAACCTACTTCCCCTTCCAGAGCTCTCCCGGCACCCACTGTGTGGCTGGAGACATCCACCCTCCCCACTGCCCTCCAGGGAGTCCCTGGACCTCCGGCCACTGGATAGGGGAAGCTGCAGCAAGCCCTCTACCCTGGCCCTGTGACCCTAGGGACCAGCTGTGCGATCCTGGGGGCTGCTGGGCCTGTGGAGTCATTCCTACCACGGAAGCAGGCTGCCCACCTCCTGAGGCAGCAGGAATCGGTCACAGGAGTCCTGGACAGGGTCAAAGATGGGACGGTGGCTAGCTGTCCGTGGCCCCAGGAACGCTCCGGGAGCTGTAGGGTGGGGGCAGAAGTGGGCACTTGGAGCTGAGCCACTTCCACCCGCTCCCTCCTCAGGTGACCCAGCCCTGGCCCTGGGTCACAGCCCCCATCCCAGCGTCACCACCTGCACTACAAGAGGTTCACCGTGGCCACCACCTGCTTGCAGCCTGTCACAGCGAACTCGCGGCCGGCGACCTGGTAGTAGCTAAGCTGAGCAGCCAGATGCTCAGCGCGGGCCTGCTCAGGAAAGAAGCCCTCCCCGGCCATCTCGTCCCGGAAACAGCTGACCACATCCCGCTTGTCCAGCAGCAAGAAAGGCACGACGGCTGCAGAGCGCCACAGCGGGTGCTGGCTCCGCAGGAACGCGTGGAGGCGGGTGCGCAGCTCCTCCTCGGCCGCGGCGCCGTCGGGGCCCGGGTTCAGTGCGCGCGACGCGTTCTGCAGTACGAAGCGCGTGACCTCAGCCCCGCCCGCGTTACTCAGCAGCACGTAGATGGCGTTGTGGAAGTGGTGCGCGCGCTGCGGCTGCAGGAGGCCGTGCAGCTCGTCCAGCAGCGCCGGCGGCAGGAGCTCCGCCTCGTCTAGCACCACAAGGGGTGTCTTCTCCTCGGCCTCGGCCTGCGCCACCACGGTGGCCACACGGCGCGCCAGCTCCTCGCGGCAGCCCTGCGCAGCGCGCGGCTCGGGGCAGTGGTGCTGCGCGTGGTACTGCAGCACGAGCGCGCTGTCTTCCAGCACTGCGCGGAAGTGGCGCGACAGCAAGCGGCCCACGTGGCTCTTCCCCACACCACTGGGCCCGTGCAGTGCCAGGAGCAGCGGGCGGCTGTGCACGTGCGTGGCCAGGTAGTCCCGCAGCAGCGCCACGATGCGGCTCACGGCGGCAGGCTGCCCGAACACTGCGCGTTGCAGCGCCTTCTCCAGCCCATCGAGGTCATAACGCTGTGCATTGTCGTCCAGGTTCTCGATGGCGTTCAACACCTGGAAGCCCACGATGGCCACGAGCAGCAGCAGGCAACGCTGAGCGCGGCTCTGGCGCTCCGCACGCGGCCGGCACTTGCGCGAGGACTCGGGGTACAGCACCACGCGGCTGCGCCGCCGCCTCTTGCGCGGAGTCCGGGGCGCCAGCTCAGCCGGGCTGTCGAAGGTGAAGAACTTGGGCTGCGCCAGGTCCGTGCGCGATGCCCCGGGACCGCAGCCTGGCCCGGGCGCCCCAGGCCCCTCGTCAGACTCCGCGCCCGGCTGCAGGAGGCGGCGCTTGCGCAGGACGCACACGCGGCGGCGCAGGCGGAGCACAGCTCGCACGGGCGCGATCACGTAGGGGCCCGGGGCGCGGGGCGCGGGGTTCTCCGGCTCCGGGCAATGCTGGTCGCGGTCCATGGCGAGTGGGTGGCGTTCCGCATGCACCTCGCCCTCCCTGGAAGGAAGACGGGGAGGGGGAGGTCGCTGACTCCAGCCACGGGTGTCCCCACCCGGGGACCGTGGGGTGCGGCCCGGCCCCGCCTCACCCGCTGACCAGGAAGCCGTGGCCGCGCAATGCAAATCCCACGGGTGCGCCGAAGCGGCCTCGGCCTGGAGGAAGTGGCGGGGAGAGGATATAACTATCAGTGGCCGCAGGCTTCCTGGAGGAGGAGTCAGGGGTCAAGACGGCCGGCGCCGGACGAGGGAAGCAGGCGACCCGCCCTGTGCAGGGTCCCGCTCGGCCGCCAGGCGTAGGGTCCCTGCATCTCAGGGGACCCAGATTGGAGAGCGATCCCAGACCCCAGAGGCTCGCAGAGGCCCTGCACACTGAGGGGTTGGGAGGCTTCGAGGCTCTGACACTGCACCCCAGGCTCGGCCAGGCCCCCCAGCCCCACGCCTACAGCCGGGGTCCTACCAACACCTTCCGCCCGCGAACACTAACGGCGGGGCGGCCGGAGTGGGACGGAGAGACAGCAGGAAAAGCCAGGAGGGGGTGGAGCCTCCGTCCTCGAGTCCCTACCCGCAGCCGAGCGCTTCCCAGCTCCGCGTCCCCTGCACAGCTGCCGGCCCGCGACGACGCAGGAAGCAGGAAGTGCCGGGCTCTCGGGTCCTGTGGGTGGGTCAGGGGCTGGCGGCCAGCGCAGGCCCGGGGGCAGCGACACCTGCGGGTCCCCAGGGAGAGTCTGCAGCAGAGGAAGCTCGGTAGGTTTCCGATTCCCGCGGAGGAAGTGAGTCAGGGGTGCAGCCGGGCGGAACTTGGCCTGGAAGGATGGCGCTGAGCCCGGAGGTCTGCCTCCCGGGGACCAGGTCCCCTCTCGGGCTGGCCGTCCCTTCCCAGCCCTGCAGCTGCGCCTGGTGCGGTGAAGGACCTCTCTGTTCCTTCCCCACTCCCCTGCACTCGTCACGGACCCCCTTGCAGGGCCCACTTGGGGGGCAGGTTCCTGTGTCCAGCTGGGTGCCCTCGTCTGGGCCTGGGCCTGGCCCTGGCCTTCCTCTCTGTCCTTTCCCCCATCCACACAAGCAAGGCCCCCTTCCAGTCCCCAGCGCCCTGGACCTCCCTTCAGCACAGGACACGCTGATGGGCATGCCGGTGCAGATTTAGGATCCCAGCACCGGGGAGGCTCTGGTAGGAGGGTCACCTCAAGTTCAAGGCCAGTCTGGGGTACAAAGTGAGACCCTGTCTCAAAAGAGAGAAAAAGGACAAGACAGACTGAGAAGTTCTAGAACCTAACCGGGACAGAGCTCACCCCCATGGGCGCACACGCATGGCTCAGGGTCCCTGGGGCAGTGGGATAAACCTGGGAGGAACCTGGGCACTTGGTGGAGGACAGGCTGGGCCCTGCCAGTCCGCTTGCAGGTCTGTGGCCTGGGCAGCCTTCTAGTGGGAGCCGTTTCCACCAGGCCCCGTGGCAGCCTCACCACCTTCCGGGGTGTGGCCTGTGGATGTTTGTCTCCGGCACTTGCCACTGAGCACAGGTCCAGGCAGTGTCCTGGCCCCCGGCTGCAGGGACTCCCCAGTCTGTCCTGCCTTGACTGCCCAAGGGCTGCTGCTGCAGGAGGCTGTCTAGGTGGTAGAGCAGGGGAGGGGTCCTTCAGGCCTGAACCCCTCTCTCCAAATTTTCACACTTTTGTTGACGTGGGGGCAGAAGTGGGTGGCTGGGCCCTACAGTAAGGAGGTGCCCCGTCCTGGCCAACTGCTTCTCAGGAGGCTGTGGCGAAGCCCTTGGTGGCCCAGAGCCCATCCTGGGGTGAGGAAGGGACTCATGAAGCAGACTGACGGGTCACCCCTGCTGGGCCAAGGGTGGAAGGGCCCTGGAGCTGCCCTGCCTGCATCTCAGCCATGCGCATGCCCCACGGTGGAGACGTCCCTTCCCACCCACCTACCCCACGAGGCTCCCCAGGTAGCAGCCACCCTCCTTCACTCATGGGTTTCCTCGGGACCCAAGGTGTCCGCCTCCTCAGGCCGCATCTGCACCCCTTCCCAGCCATCCGTCAGTCACCTGAGGACATTCACTCTAGTCCTGTCACCTCTGCAGCTCTGCCGCCCCTCCTCAGGGTCATCCATTGGACATGAATGCACGGATGCCTGACCCGGGGCCCACAGCCTCCCTGGTGGCCGGGTGCACCCGACCCTGCAGTTGTCCCACAAGCCCACCCGTCCTGCGAGCACCGCCCCAGCCCTGAGCCCCTGCCTCACCCACCGGGCGCTCTGGCCCTGGGTCTGTCTCCACCTCTTGCCACCCTCCCCTGCAAGTGGCCCTGGCAGGCCGCTGTCTGTCCTGGGCCACTGCCCATGACCTCACCAGTGCTAGGAACGCTCCTGGCCAATCTGCTGTGGGCTTTTCCTGTCTCCCCTGGAGCCCAGCTCTGCCTGTCCGGCTCCAGGAGTGACCCGGGCAAAAGTCACAGCAGAGGGCCGTCTACAGCACCAGCCTGCCCTCCTCGAACATCTGCTCTGGGGCCCCCGCTCACTGACACCCCAGCCCACCCCAACGACCCTCCACCCTTCAAGTCCTTCCTGCACGGCCATCGACAGATGGGACCCTGGACCCTGGGCCTGTGGAACATGAGTCCGGACAAAGCCCTCTCTTCCTAACTTCCCTGTCTGGGTATTACTGGCTGCCAGGACACCCTGACCCCCATCTGCCTGTAACTCACCCTGCCTGGTGGCAGCAGCAACAAAACTAAACCAGAAGCACAGCTGTTCATCCTTGGAAAGGCTGAGGCGCCTCAAACCCACCGCTCCCCACCCCAGCCAGGGGGCCCTGCCACCCCAGCAGGCTGCCTGACAGCCTTGGCACCCACCCAGGGGTGACTCAGGTATGAAGTCTGGCTTAGTCACGGCAGCACTGTGTCCAGCTCCTGCATCCCGATCAGGGAGGGAGGCTGCTCAACCAGGCCCCAGAAAAAGACCAAAGAGCTGGCCTGGCCCTGTAAACAGCTGCCCAGGGCTGGGGCCACCAGGCAGGGCCCAGCAGCCCAGAGAGGCAGAAAGCTGACTCGGCCAGGAGAGCACCAGAGGCCACCACTGGCTGCCCCAGCCCTCGTGCCAGCACAGACATCCACCAGATTTATCAAAATGTCTTTATTTACATCCATGGAGACGCCCTTGTGTGAACTCTGCTCGGCCCAGTGTCACAGCACAGCTGGGCAAGCGGCAGTCAGTGAGTAAACTGAGGCAGGGCCCTTCAGGGGAGGTGCTGCCTGAGGGGCCAGTGCACCCCGGGGCTGCTTCCCAGTGGCATCTCCAGCCCCACAGACACTGTAGCCAGCAACCCCTGCTCTGGCCAGCACAGTGCCCAACCTCAGCCCGGCTCAGAGTGGGGCCAGTCGGAGCCCTGCTCCTCCCCTCCTGACCCTCACCACCCACCTCTGCCAGGGCAAAGGGCTAGGCCCCGGGGTGGCAAGTGGGTGCCATGGTGGGTGGAGGGCTGGAGAGGGGCAGCTGCCTATGGGGTCGCTGGGGCCAGGCGCCCCCTTCCTGGCTGACCGGGGCCGTGTCCCTGAGGAGTAGGTCCTGCAGAGCCTGAAGCCTAGAGCCCAGCTGGGGCGGGCATGCTGGGGAGGGGCAGCTCCAGGGTGGGCGTCTCAGTGGCCTGCGCAGGGCTGGGCTTCCGATGGTCCAGCTGCTCTAGCTTCTCTCCGAGCTGGGTGTAGAGCTCCTTCACAGCCTCGCCAGTCTGTGGGCAGAGCCAGGCATCCCGAATTACACAGGAGCACCAGGTACCAGCAAGACACTGCCCACAGGGGTCATCGCAGGCAGTGAGCATGCACCGAGGCCAGCACGGCAGGGCGCTCACAGGCAGCAGGGGGCACCAACCTGGCCTGTGGGCTCCAGGGCCTTCTGCAGAGCCTCCAGCTTGGATGGGGCCACCCTAGCATGCAGGTGGAGGAGCAGCCTCAGCACGTGCCGGTGCACGTTCTCCTTCCTGGAAAAGGCCGCACAAGGCTGGGCCAGACCCTGCTTCCCCCAGGCCCAGCCCACCTGCTGTGGGGATGCCCCTCCAGGCTCCTCCCACCACCCCTGCAGACAGGCCCAGGGCCCCTCAGACCTCTCCCCAGCTTGGCGGGGGCAGCTCCCAGGCTGAGAGGTCCCGAGGGGCGGGCCAGCCGGCACCTGTGGCTCACCTGGGTGAGGCGGTGAGAAAGAACCCTTCAAAGAGGCTGCTGCAGAAATCCTCCAGGGCAAATTCATCAGCCAACAGGGCCAGGCTCCCGGTAAGTAAGTGGAGGAAGATGTCACTGAAGGCCAGGTCGCCAAAGGTCTCCACTGCAAAAACACAGCAGTCAGCCCGGCCCCAGAGGACCCTCAGGTGTCTGAGGTCAGGCTAGGACCTGGGACGGCGAGGTCTCCAGAGGCAGGTGGCTTGGGACCCTCGGCAGAGCGGGAGGGCCACAGCTGGGGTGTGGGCGAGATGAGGCCCCTGCCAGACCAGAGCCCAGCAGCTGCCAGGGCCACAGAGAAGCCACGGACACCGGTGAAACGGAGGAATGTGCCAGGTGCAGCACAGAGTCCTCCAGCCACCAAGCAGGCGCTTCTCAGGAACAAGGACAGAGGACACTGGACAGGCGGGGAAGCCACAGCTGCCAAGGCCGGTCTGCTAGGAACACTGGGAGCCTCGTGTGGCACCTGGCATCACTTGCAGGAGGGGGAGGTGGGAGGTGACAGAGGACCCCTTCGTTGCACCCCTCACGAGGGACAATGGACACAGGCGCTGCCACTGGAGACACCCTCCAGAGTACCCTTAGGGCAGACCCTGCCGACGCCACCTGACTCATGGGATGGCTAAACGTTTCAGGGCACCCTGGCCTCCCACGGAGCTACTGGCAACTGAGTCTCAGCTGCTAGGAACCCGATTCCCACAGCTGACTCCAAAGCACTGCAGACTGAGAGCCCAGAAGCAGGAAGGTAGTGCACAAGTCCCGGCGTGCCATCTGCATGGTGATGCTGAGGCCACCAGAGATGCAGTCGGCCCAGCACCTGACCTGGAGAGACCACGGCCAGCTCCGAGGTGGGTGCCGGGAAGCCCCTTCCTCTGTGGGGTGCATACGAGCTATTTGGGGCCACATGTGGCAGTATCAGGGTCCCGGGCCACACACAGACCTGGCCCAGTGACACACAAGGCCTCACCATGGTGTGCTCTCGGCTTTTCATCTGCTCAGAGTGCCATGATCAGAAATTAAACAAACCTCAAAATAAAAATAACTATAATAAGGCCTGACTTACAAGCACTGGAGTTGTGAACTTTTACAGATTAAAAACAGACCTCAAATTATTAACATTCGTAGATGTAAACAAATCACAGAAATAGTTCCTGCCTCTGCTGGACAGTGCCACAGTTGTGCTGCTGTGTGCTCACTGTACAGTGCAATAGTGTTCAATATGTTTGTGTGTGTTTGGCTTTTTTTTAACGCTTTACATTGTACATTTGTGTCAAGGTGTTTAAGACTGACTTTGTCAGACTTACTTAGGAACGAATCCGACTTAACGAACATTCTCCTAGAACGGAACTCATTCGTAAGTCAGGACTTACTGTAAATAAAAGAAAATTCCACAAAATCCACATCCATTCTTACTAGAATCCACTCAAACATAAAAACAAGGCCTTCCTGAACAAGACTGAAGTGACACATGCCACCCAGGGCAGATGCCTGCCGAGGAGATACGAAGCACCAGAATGAACCAAGAGCAAGCCAGATCAAGGTCATTTCTAACCATACTCCTGAACATCCCCAAACACAAACAGGCCTGGCCCCTAAACATCCTGATGCCCCCAAAGTTGGAGTCCACATGGACCCGATTCTCTGTGGAGCTTGCAGGAGCTGGGAGACTCCCAATCGCCAGAGCCCAGCAGAAGCCTGTGGCACCAGAAGCCAGGGTGTGCAGCAGCTCATTCCAGCAGCCAGGGAAAACCAAACCCAGCTGAGAACAGTATTGGAGGGCGGCCGTGTACAAATTAATGCCCACAGAGGGCTTCCTCCACACAGAAAGCTGGAAAAGGGATGCAACATGCTTGGTATGAAATATGCACAACGCCAGATGGCCCAAACGAGCAGACACCAGGGCCTGTCACTGTGCTGACAGATGCTTCCAAAGCCACCTCCCTGACAGCACCTGTGGGGCCCCTCCGCTTCTTCCTGGCTTGATGTCACCCCCGGCAGTGCTCTCAGTCCTCCATGCACCCAGAGAGCCCACCCCTTCACCAGTTGGGCACCAACACCGGCATGTGCCACACACGAGACCCAGAGCAGGAGCTGTGCACATGCAAAATGGAGCCCCCACCCACCCACCTGCAGACCAGGACCTCCCAGTGCAAACGGCTGCACAGCTGGAGGCCAGGCAGGGCACCTAGGTCGGCACCGTGATGGCACTCACCCAGCCCGGGCAGCAGACGCAGCAGTGCATTCTTGTTCCTCTGCTTGGTGATGTGCAGGACGTAGTACAGCCCGACCTCACAGGCCATGCGCTGCTCCTGTAAGAACCTGGGCCAGGAGAGCACGCAGGCTGCAGTGACCCCAGCCCAGCAGCCACCCACTGTGCCGACCCAGGCCCTCACACCGCAGATTCCAGGCCCTACTTGGTAAAGCTTTCAGGAAGCGTGTTCGGGTATGTGACTGGTGCTTTCTCCTCGGACGGAAGCTTCTGGTCCACATTGAATGTGTAGTCGTCCACCACGAAGGACATGAGCATCGGCAAGAACTTGGTGATGAGCTCCACTTCCTGAGGAGGGAGACCCTTGAGCCTGTGCCTACCTGAACAGGGGCCCCTGTACATCTTCCAGACCCTCTCCTGGCTTCCTGGGACGCCACCCAGCACTGTGTCCCCAAACCCCCACCTGCACAACCATATGGCCAGCCTGTCTACTGAGACACCCCAGACACCCTGGGTGGGTATTTCCCAAAAGGATGCCTCTGGGCAATGCTGTGGGACCACAGGGGCCCGCCTTGCCACTACCCCAAGGAGCAGAGTGCAGGGCAGCCCCGATTCAGATCTGTACCATCTTTGGCTCCTTGAAGACCTGGCTGTCAATCAGGTCCCATGCCCCCTGACCCAGTGCCAGCAGCCTGAGCAGCAGAAGGAGGTCAGGACTGTCCTGTGGGGAAAGAGAGGCCTCAAAAGCTCACCGGGGCTGGGCCACTGCTGACTCTGATCATCATGCCGCTGGGAAACCACTGCCCCTGGGCCAGATGCCAGGGCCCCAAGACCCTGATCACAGCCCCCATGTGCCCCGGGCCATGCCTACACTCACCCTGGGCAGCGTCTCCTGGCTGACCAGCTCCTGCAGGTGCCTGATGGTGCTCAGCGACAATGTGTTAATGGCAAAGGGGTCACAAAGGATCATAGACAGGTCCCTGGAAGGAACGGCCCTCGGCATTAGCTGGGGAGCCTGGCTGTCCCACCCTGCCATTGTATCCCGCACAGCCAGCTGAAGGAACAGCTAAGCACTAGGCTGCCAGGCCTTGAGGACTGGATCCCGGGAATGGCTTCCTCAACAGGAGCAAGCAGATTTGACTCCAGATGTCTGTCACTGAAAAGCTTAAGGCTCACAATTTATCCTTCACTGACTCAAAGATCTTTCAAACCAGAGTCAGGAAGTGAAGTACACGCATGGTCAGGCTTTGGTTCTGAAATACGGGCCCAGATTCTGACAATGGTAGCTGAGGATCATGGCGGGGCTGTAGCCCAAGCAGTGTTCACACACCAGTCCGAGGATACCAGGAGACAGGCTGGGGCCCCCAGGCCACTGCTCAGCTCAGAGCAGCCAAGGAGCAGTGTTCCCCACACTCCACAGAGAGGGATGGGGTCTCTGGTAACAGATTCACCCCAAGCAATGGTGTCTTGGCTGGGAGCCAGGAAGCCCAGCAGAGGACCCTGGAGTGAGGGCAGAGGGCGGCCCTGACCCTTACCCCAGGACCTGCTCCTGCCCCTTCTTCACACCATCGAGAAATCCCTGCAGCTCCCGGGCTCTCTTGCTGTCCACAAACCGCTCTCGGATGCAGGCATCCAGGCACCACGTGAACTGTGGGGGAGGCAGAGTCAGGGCCAGGTCCGGACCCTCAAGGACAGCCGGTGGTGGCACCCGAAGGACACCCTCTTGGCTTGCTCCACACAGCCAGCACCCAGGGGCCTGACAGCTGCAGGATAGTGGGGGGCAGAGATGAAGACAGACACAGGCCACATCTCAGAACCCCAGCCCCGGCCACACCCAGGACTGGAGGCCCCAGAGAGGCCAGGAAGAGGGCAGCTTCCTGGGGGCCATGCTGGACCAGGAGACCTGCAGACCGAGACAGGCTGAGGCCACCATCTGCCTTGTCACTTGTCTACCACATACTGACAGAAGTGCACCCAGTGCCACCTGCCCAGGTCCAGAGGACGTGGTGTAGAGAGAAGGCACTGCTGAGCTTTCACGGGCGTGTGGGCCCTGCAGGAAGCTGGGCTTCCCTTTCTGGGGCAAAAGCTGCAAGGCCAGGGCAGCAGCAGGAGGACCCCCATGTCCTTGCACCCCACGCACGGGCACTTCAGCCCACCCAGCAGCGAGGCTTGGAGCAGGACGGTGTGGGGGGACCTGAACCACTGCTGTCCCCTCCTCAGAGCAGCCCGGTGCTCACCAGCAGCAGGGAAGCTAGGATGGCCAGGGTGGCCACAGGGCCTGCACCGGATGGGGCAGCAGGAGGGAGGATTGGGGGCAGCAAGGCCAGGTGCTCAGAGAGCCCCCAGCAGGGTCAGCAGCTACATGACAGCAGAGCTCAGGAGTGAGGCTCGGCATGCACACCTTGTGGCAGGGGTCTACGGTGCAGATGTCACCCACGTCGAGGTCATGCAGGGACATGAGCAGCTCGGCCCGCAACGTGCAGTAGTGCACGTTCCTGGTCCGCAGGAAGAGCGTGCGCAGGAACTGCAGCACCATGTCATACAGCTTCACGTTCTTCCCCACCATCTGCGTCAGCTTCTGCACCACCTGGTAAGACACAGTGCATGGTGCCCAACCCGACCCACACAGCAGCGGCCCAGATCTGGCCCCAGGCTCAGCACTGCCCTCCCTCCAGACAGCTGCCCCACAAGCTTCTGTCCCTGTTGTCCCCTTGTGTCCTCACTGTCGGCCACAGAGCCCCAGCGAGTGCCCCACTTCCACAGCATAAGCACTCTTCTCCAGGGTTCCCCTGCCCTCACTGCAGGGCAGCCTGGGGACACAGTGCCACCTGACACAGGGCTCAGGCCAGAGTCCGGCTGGCTCGCGGCTCCCGCCCCTGCAGGGCCACAGCCAACATAAGCTTCCCTGGCCAGAAACAAAAGCCCCTGGTGTGAGGGGACACTTGGGGCAAGCCCAAGACACCAAGCTGCACTCAGCCAGCGGTGAGATCAGCAAGGGCTGCTCAGCCCCTGGCCCAGAGGTCCCCTTCAGGAGCCCTGCACAGCACTCGCCACTCAGGTCTGCAGGCCCCACCTCAGTGACCCTGCACGAGACATCCACCTGTCCCCAGAGCCCACAGGGCTCCTAGCCACCTACAAGGGAACCGGGCACTTCCAATGACATGGCCCTGCCCATGTTACGCATGAACCGAAGGCTGCCTGGGGCTCCTGATCACAGGTCAGCTGGGGACAGAACCCAGGCGCCACCCAGCTGACTCACACTTGGGGACCGTGGGCAGGTGTTGGCTTGGCACTCCCTGCCACAGCACTGCAGTACCATGGAGCACAGAGGACAGACTGCAAAGCTTCCAGACATGGAAAACCAGGCTGTGGACAAAGCATGGGAATCAGAGGCCCTTCAGAGCTACCTTCAGCAGTGCTCACCAGGGAACAGTGAAAAACGACTACGATACTTGGAATTTCAAGTCAAGTCCACCAGTCGGCTAACATCTAAGCAAAATAAATACCAGGTGCCTCTGAACTCTGAACGCTTTCTTCAGTGTTTCTGAGGGACCGGGGTGTTGCTCAGCGGTAGAGCAGTTGCTTAGCCCTGAGGCCCAGGGTTCCATCCCTGGGCCCCACAAAAAACCAGAAAAACCACAAAAAAAGACATTTCCCAACAAAACAAGGGTGAGACCAAGAAAAAACAGCTGGGGGGGGGGTGGAAGGGCTGGAAACGTAGCTGAGTGGGAGAGCGTCTGCCTAGCATGCCTGAAGGCTGAATCCTGAGGCCTCAAAAAAAAATTTTTAAAGGAGGAAAGCAAACTTGGGACACAAAAAATACAATTAACACAAGACATGGGCAAAGAACAGATGCGGCATGGCCTGGCACATCAGAGCAGGAAGTCTGTGAAGGGCGTGCAGTTCCAGAGCTGGGAGAGCTGAGAAAGAGCCAGGACCCAGGACCCGGAAGGAACGACAGCCAGAAACCTCAGGAAAACTGCATCCCGCACCGTCACTGTCCAGCCACGCAGCACACAGAAACATGGTGGCCGGTCCAGCCTGGGACAGCGAGATGTCCACAGCATAGGACACCAGGAGCACCACCGTCAGCCGTGCCGGCACTGTGCTGGGACCACAGGACGGCCCCACCCCCAGGTGGGGCCTGGAGACTGCCTGGGGTGCCAGCCAGCAACCTGCAGAGTATGGGCGCAGCTGGTGTGGGGGCAGAGAGCCCCACTTCCCGGCAGGGAGGAGAGCTGGAGGGAAGTGACTTTCTGCTCTTCTGCACATTTCGCTGTTTGTGTGTTAAAACACTGCTTTTCAGCGAAAGCTCACCCTAAGACAAGGCAGGCCCAGCAAGTCTCTCGAAGACAGAATCAGCTCACCAGGACAGAGAGAGGCTGGGGACACTGGGACCCCACAGCCCAGAGGGCAAGGGCTCCGTGTGCACGACGGGAGAGATGGGAGAGATGGGAGAGATGGGACCGAGGACCGGAACCAGAATCCACAGCACAGGGAAGGGACAGCGGGGCAGGCACACCCTCCCCTCCCCCGAGGGGCCACTCCACCTGGCGCGGAGCCGAGAGCCCAGCCGGAGCCACCAGCCACATGGGGCTCTTTGGTGCTATGAGCATGGAAGACTCACCACACTGTAAAATTAGTGAGTCCTCAGATAACACCTCAGTAACAATCATTCACACGAATTACAAATCAAAACATAGAACTTTTGATACATTAGTTTAAGGAAAAGGTATTAAAATGGATCTCATTTACTTTTTTTTTCCCAATACGGGGATTAAACCCAAGGCCTTCAGACCTTTTCTTGTATATTTTACACTGAGACAAGGTCCCACTAAATTGCCTAGGTTATACTCAAACATGCAATCCCCCTGCCTCAGCTTGCTGAGTGGCTGGGATTACAGGGGTGCACCACCATACACCGCTCATCTACCCTCTTCTCCGTCAATGTGGATAACAGGAAACTCTGAATGACACACATAACTTATCTGTTTCCTTTTACTAACTGGTACTAAAGTTAACTAATTAGGTCAGGTGTAGTGTCACAAACGTATAATCCCAGCACTCAAGAGGCTGAAGCAGAGGAACTGCTGCAAGTTCACAGCCAGCCTGGGCTACATCCTGAGTTCAAGACTAGCCCAAACTACATAGTGAAACCCTGTCTCAAACATAACAAAAAGAAAGAAAGACAGACAGACAGACAGGAAGGAAGAAAGACAGACAGACAGACAGGGAGACAGGGACGGAGGGAGGGAGGGAGGGAGAGAGAGAGAGAGAGAGAAAAGGAAGAGGGGCCGGGGATTTAGCTCAGTGGTTCTGCTGCCTGCCTAGCAAGCGCAAAGACCAGAATTCGATCCCCAGTACCAAAAAAAGCCCCAAACAAATAAAAAGGTGAGCTTAATGGCATTAGTAATAGGTGGAAACTTCCATTCAGGGTGTTCTAAAGCGTGAAAAATGAAATATTCAAGCACACCACATTAACAAACTACTTAGACCTGAAAGCTTAAGTACCAGCTTGCTTTTTGAAATAGTGTACAGCTGTCCTTTTACATCAATGGCCTCTATCCATAGACTTTACCCTTATTCATGTATCACTTCACTGAAATGCAAAACACACACAAACTTAAAAGCAACCAAGCTCTGTGGCTATATGCGGGAGTCCACACTCCAGGAGAACAACTCCACCCTCACCGGGGAGGGGCAGCCAGGGAAGAGTCCCGCCACACAGCCTTGAAGTGCTCCGACTGAGCTCCCACAGCCCTCACCTCACCCTGGCGTCTGGTCTTGGGGGAAGGACTGAAGAAGTTGTGCAGGACAGAGAGCTCCGTGCTGAAGAGTGAGTTTTCCTTCTCCAGTATGTACTGCTTCAGCAGTGGAGACACCTCATCTCCAAAGAGCGCCTGGTTGTCCTGCCAGATCTGCCGCTTCACCTCTACTGCACAGGCTCGGTACAGCTCCTTATCAGCCATGACCAGCTTCAGCTTCTTCTCAGGAACCTACACAAAAAGCACCACAGCACCCAAGGCCTCCTTCAAGACAGGCCAAGGCCCTCAGCTGTCGGGAGACGGCCGAGCCCCGCCCACCCACAGGTGCACCGGTACAGCCCCCCAGGCCCCAGAGGATGCAGACAGACATGCTCAATACCCATAGCTCTCCCAGAATAAGCCCCAAGCTCCAACATGAGTGCAAGCTTCTGTCTCCATGAGGCTTGCCCGGGAAAAGACCACACAGAGGAGGTCCCAGGGACCAGCGCTCAGGCAGGCAGCTCGTCAAGTCTTCCCCAAGCTCAGCAGCTGCCTGGACCAGTGCAGGCTCACTTTGGCCAACCAAAAGCGACTGGACAGGCAAGTGGGCAGGCTGGCCAAACTACAGCAGGCCACAGAGATCCTGGCCTCCCCGGAGGGTGAGCCCCAGGGCTCCCACCTTTGGCAGATGTTTCATGACACACATCACCACTGGCTGCAGGGAGGGCATCTTGACCAGGGAAAAGCTCTTCTCCAGCAAGTCTTCCAGCTTCTTGTACCTAGAAAGACGTGTGCGACTGAAGGGATTGATCTCCACGTGCAGAACACCCTGGGGGGGAGGGGTCTCACGCACAGTCCTGGGTCACCTCTACAACCTTAAACGCTCCCCAGGCAACTGGGGGCTGAGAGGCGGCCGCACAGCTCCCCTCACCACTTGCAGGGTGAGACTGACCTCTCCTCAGCCTTTCCCTCCGAGGCGATGGCTGACACCCGCTCCAGCAGCTTGTCCCGCAGCTCATCGAACACCGACTGGTGGAACTCCAGCCGTGGAGTCCCGTGCAGGTCCAAGAAGGGCAGAGCTGACTGCAGGGAGGGCAGCAGCACACCATTCTCTGTCTGAGGAAGCAGAGGGACAGTGCGCACGGGTTCTGCTGAGAGAAACCTCAGCCGCAGGTGCCCATGCCTGCCTGGGCACTCCGAGTGCCCCAAGTACACAGAGGGGCACCCCGGGTCTCCCGAGTACACAGAGGGGCAAGTCCACGGATGTCCTGAGTTCATAGAACGGCACCAGGGCCACGGATGTCCCAGCGGCGCCGGCGGAAGCCGCGAACACCAGAGAGCACCCCGAGTCCCGCAGTGGGCGCCTGGCTCGGAGGCCCCGGCACCTCCCCGCAGGGGCAGACACGCCGTCGGGGACCCACCTGGAATTGCTCGATGGCCTTAAGCGGCTCGGTGCAGTTGGTCAGGGTCTCCTTCAGGTCCTCACCATTGGCCACACCCAGGTCCTGCAGCCCCGCGAACATGGCCGAGGCCCCAGCCCCCGCCTGGCTCGGCGCACCATCGCTGCTCCGCTCCCCAGGCGGCGCCGCGGACGCCCCCGAAGCCCGCTCCCCAGGACCTCGGGGGCCACCCGAGCCCCGCTCCCCCGCAGCCTCCAGCTCGGCCAGGTCGCGCCCCCAGCGCGGCTCCTCCTGGGCCCGCACCGCCCACTTCCGCCCCGCACGGCCTCCCGCCAACTCACCCCCCGGAAATGCCACCGCCGGCGCGCACAGGTTCCGGACTGTGGCGCATTACCCGGACCTGCTGGAGCGACACCGTGCGAAGGGCGGCACCCAAGTGACGCTCGGGCTGTAGCACGGCCCCGCCCACTCCGGCCGTTCCACCCCCTTCTGCCTGGTTAAGTCTGGCGGCCTGTGCGGCCGGCACCCTGTTAGGGATTTCGGAACTGACATTTTATCCAAGGGAATTTTCTTTATTCTTGTAATCACGAACTCTACTGATGATCTCACAGCAGCGTCCATGACGTGGCGCTTCACTGCCCGACAAACTCCCTGCACCTGGGTCCAGGTGTGAGGCATAGGTGTGGGATAAAGTGCGTGACCTTGACGCTTTCCAGAACTTGGCTTTCTCCAGGTGAACCGAGACAAAGCTCACCCCCTAGGCTTGCCATAAACTAAAGTCTAAATGTGCCTCCAGGCCGGGGGTTTAGCTCAGTGGTTCCGCAGCCTCTTTTGAAAGCGCAAAGTCCCAAGTTCCATCCCCAGTACCAAAAAAAAAAGTGCCTCCAGGGGTACCAAGGGTCCCAGCAAAGCTGGCCTTTGGGTACACAGCCACTGTGCTCCTCACAGAGATGTTAGGATCTACCCATTGGACTACCCAATGTGGGCCTCCTTGAGCTGGAAGCCAGGTCCAGGCTCCATGGCATCCTGTCCTCTGCAGGACGAGAAGCTGGGTCCTGTTGCCAAGAGTGCAGGCACTGAGCCTCCTGTGTCCTCAGGCTCAGCCACACGAACCACCACACCTCCTCCTTTTCTTGTCCCTTTGCTACTGGGGTTTGCCCTGCTAGAAACTCCTTCTCTGATGCCCAGCAAACTCTCCCTCAGCCTTGAGAGCTCCTCCCCCTCCTGCCCAGCTTCGAGTCTTCGAGGTACCTGGTGGTGCAGCAATAACCAGGACTGTTTCATCTGAGGCCAAGTGCCCAGAGCCAGGGCTCCCTGAGGTCCTTCACAGCTGCTTCCAGACAGCTGATCAGCCGAGTGTTGAAGGTCCCACTGCCCCTATTCCCCAGGGCATGGGAGTCTGAACCCAGCTGGGCATGGAGGACACAGGTGCTGGCACCTGCCAGCAACTGGGCCAGAACCTGGGCAGGGCTGGGGCTGGGAGATGGAGGAGATCTCACCAGCTGCAGATGAGGCACCTGCAGAGTGGCCCCCTGGGTAGGACAGCAGGGGAGTGGTGATGAGGGGACCCACAACCACACTGCTGCTACAGACAGGGCAGGGGCCCCGACGCATGAAGGCCCAGGGAAGGCCCCTTGCTGACTTGGCCTGCACAGCCTTGGCCAGAGTTCTCAGGGCCCATGCTGGACGTTCAGGCCAAGGCCTCGGGAAATGGGGCCCAGCCTTGATGAGCCACCTCCCTGGCAGCTGGGCAGGCTGACTCTGCCCTGACCCTCAAGACAGCAGTCCCTCCTGGGCTCAGCAAGCAGCCTGACCTGAGGGTAGCAGGGCAGCTGGGCCAGTTCCCTTGGGGCGGCATGGTCAGGAAGAGGTGTCTTCCTCAGCCCATCCTGTCCCAGGCCTGGAATCTCCAGGTCAGCCCCAGGCTGCCACACCAGTCCCTACAGAGGAAAGTACTCCCTGCAGGATCAGCCAAATGGAAACCTCCACACAGGAAAAACTAGAAATGACAGGGAAGCAGCAGGCCACATCTTCAGGACAGCCCCCTGGGAAGGGGACAGCAGCTAGACACACACCGAGTTCTCCATCTCAGTAGAGCAGGGGGTGGGCAGGTGGGGGCTCTGGGCTGGGCTCTCCTTCCCGAAGTCCACAGCAGAGTCCCCAGTCGGAGGGTAGGTCAGGGGCACCCAGGGGTCAGGTCCAGCCTGGGGCGCCACAACCACGTCCAGCGGGAGGCCTGGGAGAGGCCCAGGGAAGCCGGGGATCCACTAGGTGACAAGCAGGGCCGGCAGAGCCCAGCGGGCCCTAGAGCGCGCAGAAAGGGCCCGTGTCGTGGCGCTTGGGCCTGCGTACACCCTGGATGACCACCCCAGGAGCGGAGGGGAAGCGCGAGTCGTAGCAGTCCTCCACGTGGTAGGCGGCCGGACCAGGCGTGCAAGCTGCAGAGAGAGGGCCTGGGAGCCCACGAGCACAGCACGGCCCACACCTAGTCCCGCCCCACCCGTGCGCGCGCAGCAGGGCCGGGCCAGACCCAGCCTCCCCCGGACCTCCTTACAGGCGCGCAGCCCTGCGGCAAAGGCGGGCGAGCCGCTCCTGGAGAAGGCGGGCGGGCGAGGGCGCTGCAGGCGACACCCGGCGCGGACGTCGTAGGCGGTGGGGCCTGGCCGCTGCTCGCCGGGGACCCGCGGGGGACCCTGTACCAGGAATCGTGCACTGGGGGTCTGGACGCGAAGCGGACCCGGGCGCGCACGGACCCCGAAGCTGAAAGCGGGGCCGACGGGAGGGCTGGGCGGCACGTGATCTGCGGGCGACGGCCACTGCGGACGGAGGGGAAGCTACAGGGGCTCCCGGCCTGGACGGCCCGGCCCGCCTACCTGTCCCCGGGGGCCCCGTCCCGCCCTAGCCCCTCCCTCAACCACCCCACCCCCGCCCGAAGATCCCGCTCGTTTCCACCCCTGCCTGGCCCCACCCACTCGGCCCCCGGCTCCTCCCTCGCCCTCCTCCCCCGCCCTCCTCCCCCACCTGGCGCTCGAGGTTGAAGTCCACCTTCCGCGTGAAGGGGCTTTCGCTCTGCAGCCACGCGCTGTGCCACGCCCTGCGGCCGCCGCTGTCTACGGGGTCGAGGGAGTCAGTGAGGGCTCCCGGGGGGGCCCCCTCTGGGTGAGGCAGGGAGGTACCTGGGCCCGGGTGCCTGCAGCCGATGCTGTAGTGAAGGTGCGGGCAGATTTCCCGCAAGAAGGCTCTGGGCGCGTACTCTGCTGGGCCCGGCACGTCGGGGTCGGCCAGGAGCGGGGGGCGCTGCTCCAGCACTGGGGTGGGAGGGTGAGCTCTGGGTCTGGCGCCCCCAGGCTGCCCCTGTCCCCCTCCCACACCGGTTGGGGGTGCAGCCAGGACCCTCACTCACGCAGCCCCCGTAGGGTCCGGGTGCGGGTGAGCGGGCACTCCCCGGTGGACCCCACGAATGACCTCCAGCCCATTGGGGTCCTCTTCGGGCTGGTGGGACTCTTCTCATCCGCATCCCAGGACAGTAGGGCGGCCTCGGGCCTACAAACAGACCAGGGCATCCACTCAGCTACCTGCCGCCTGCCCCAGGCTGCAGCCACCCATCCATGCCTCCTAAAGTTACCTTTTTTGTCTCAGGGGGCCATGCGTCCAGTGTTTGCCTCCATTGATGTAAAAATTGGCCAGGAATTTCACGGCCTTCTGGTCAAAGTTCATACCCAGGGTTGGGCTCTCTCCCTGAGGGCACCTTGGGGCTCTGTGACCTCATTGGCAGGTCACAGCCCCCTTGATTGCCTAGAGCACCGTAGGGAAGGAGCATTGTCCAGCTCCACAGGGGCTGCCCCAGGGACCCCAGCCACAGCCGCCCTCCCCAGCCTGCTGGGTGTGTCAACAGGACCCCCAACCTGCCAGGAATAATAATAATATAATAATAATAATAACCTCCCTGCTTGTCCAAACCCTTTCTTCTGTACTCTGGGGTTTCCTAGAGTCAGGGGTCCACACTAGCGCTAGCTGGCCTTGGGGGGGGTCTGAGGCCCTGGCTAAGGGGGGGGGTTGGAGAGGGGGAGAGGACCCCTGAGTATTGTCCAGGTCCTTCAGGACGCCCCCTGGGTGGGTCAGGAGGGGTGACCTAGGAAGGCTGGAAGAACTGGAGCTGCTGCCCAGTAGGAAACCCAGGCATGAGCAGAGTGGAGCAGGGCAGCTCTGGCTCTGGACCTGACCCCCACCCTGCCGGGGTTGGGTATGAGTCCTGTCCTCTGTGTGGGGCAACAGAGGCCGGAAGTGCAGCAGAAGGAGTCGCAGATGGCCTGGGCTGCCCAGCTGAGCTGTCAAGGGTTAATGAGCTGGAGGGAGCAAGAGCCCATCTGGGCATCAGGCTCTCCAACAGGGGCCTCCGGCTGGGCTGGCTGGGCTGCCAGCCCTGACCTTGGCCCCAGCCAAGGTCACAGAGTCACAGAGCTTCCTCCACCCTGACTAGACCTCCTCCCCTGATCCCTCTCTGCCAGCACCAGTGCTGCTGGACTGGGAGGGATAAAAATACATTTGATTTGGGGAGGGCTCCCACGCTGCCAGCCCCCCAGGGCCCCCAATGTTCCTCGAGCTCCTTTTACTGTAGACAGCTAGTTTAAAACATTATAGCTGGGGCTGTAGCTCAGTGGCACTCCACCTGCCTGGCAAGCGCAAGGTCCTGAGTTCGATCCCCAGTACTGCAAAAAAAAAAAAAAAAAACAAGTCAAAAAACATTATAGGGGCCAGGGATTTAGCTCAGTGGTTTCGTCGTCTGCTGCGCAAGCACAAGGACCCAAGTTCAATCCCAGTTACCAAAAAAAAAAAAAAAAAAAAAAATTATAGGCAGGCAGACAAGGCTAGGCCCTGGAAGAAGTCAGTGCAGAAGATAAGAACACATTACCACTGTGGCAGGAGGTGCATTCATTGAAGGCCAGGCTTTGAGACAAAATTAACTACCCCTACACATTTCTTCTAGGAATGAACAGCAGTGATTGATTTTCTAAATAGGCATCAATTAATGAAAACTTCCCTAGCCCATTCCTTCATGGAAAAGTCCTTGTTTAGTCCATGCACACTTGCTACCTGACTTGCTTCTCCATTTGATCCCCATTAATCAATATTACATAAGCAACCCTACTTGTAATCTTATTAGTTGACCATAGTTCTGTCCCACCTTATACCTGCCTCACCTCGTGGTTTTGCTTTGTAAAACACCCTTGAGAAGTGGGGGTCACGGGCAGACCACTTTCCAGCCCCCCTTCTGTCTCTCTTAAAAGCTATCTTTCTTTTTTTTTTTTTTTAAAGCTATCTTTCTGGAAAAAAAAAGAAAAGCTATCTTTCTGTCAATAAATTCTTTCTACTCTTAACCTCCATTGTTCCTAGAATTCATTCTTTGATTTTAGAGAACACACACTCAGCATATCAGACATCGAGCAGGTTGGGAGTTATGATATTTCCCTTATATTATTTAGCGGTCCATATATCATCCCTATTATCATGTGCCCTATATCACTTTAAGAACCCAATTAGCAGCGGCTGTAAATGTAACCGCTGTGGGATTTTGTAAGGAAGGCTTTGTCCTTATCCAGTCCCTATGGCAAACACTGCTGTGGTGAATGAGATTCCGGCCAGGGATCCTGGCAGACAGGTCCCAGATGGAGGCAGTGTCTTGTGCATACCTAGCCCCCTGAGAATACTGTGCTCCCAAAGGCAGCTCCAGCCATTAGTGGCATTTGATCAGCATTTATTTGATCCACTTTCTATCTTTTTTTTTTTTTTTGGTACCGGGGATCAAACTTAGGTCCTTGTGGTTGCTCAGTAGGCGGCGAAACCACTAAGCTAAATCCCTGACCCTATTTGGTCCACTTTCAATCTTACCTTCATGCATTTAGTGGCTGGGTTTTTTCCCTTAGAACGTTCATATTATGCTTTGCATTTTAATATAAGACACCCACTTTTCACGTTATTTTATGAAAAAGTTTTGTGCTGATATTTGCTGGCAACCATGGCAAACTTTTCTTCTAGTTTGTACTTTTCTTTCAGAATTATATATGCTTTAAAAAAATTTTTTTAAATTTTTTTTCTGGTACCAGGGATCGAACTCAGGACTTTGTGATTGCAAGGCATCCCATATGCTTTTTTTTAAAAAAAAATGGAAGACTTGGGCCAGGGATTCAGCTCAGTGGTTCCACTGCCTGCCTTACAAGCGCAAGGATCCAAGTTCAATCTCCAGTACACCCCCCGCAAATGTAAGAGCTGGGTATGGTGATGCATGCAGGTAATCCCAGCACTCAGGAAGTTGAGGCAGGAGGATTGCCATGAGTTCAAGGCCAGCCTGGGCTACATAATGAGTTCAAAGCCAGCCTGATTGACAAAGTGAGACCCTGTCTCAAAAAAAAAAAAAGTAGAGTGGAACCTGTTAATTTGTTTCTTTATATTTTCATTTTTGTGGTTAGAAAGTTCTCAAAACGGGCCAGGGAATTAGCTCAGTGGTTCCGCTGCCTGGCTCGAAAGTGAAAGGTCCTGAGTTGGATCGCTGCACACTGATCAGGGAGCACTCACACAGTCCCTCTTGCAGATGACGTGATGGTCTGGATAGAAAGTTCTCAAAAGGATTTGCTTAAAATGGGAATTACAAGTGTGATTAAAAAATACAGTGAATGTTTAAATTTTTAAAAATTATTATAATAAGATACATCGTTAATCCCCTTCAAAACACACACCCTCACTTTGAACGAACTTATCCCATCATTCTTGCCACTTTCTGAAGCGGTTCTGGAGTCCTCTTTCATGAGTGTTTTTATTTGTTTGTTTGTTTTGGGGTTTTTTTTTGGTACCAGGGATCGAACTTGGGTCCTTGCGCTTGCGCAGCAGGCAGCAAAACCACTGAGCTAAGCCCCTGGCCCTTTCATGGGTGTTTTTAGTTATATTGTCATAGCTACCTTGATGCCCTGAATTGATTCAAAATGTGAATTTTTATCAGGAGATTTAGCTCAGTGGTTCTGCCACCTGCCTCGCAAGCACAGGGTCGCGAGTTCAATCTCCGTTGCCAAAAACAAAACAAAACAAAATGTGAATTTTTTTTTAATTTTTTGAGACAAGGTTTTGCTATGTAGTTCAGGTTGGCCTTGAACTCACTATGTAGCCCAGGGAGGCCTCAAACTTATGGCAATCGTCCTGCCTCAGCCTGGCACAAATGTGAATCGTTCATGGTCATTTTGACTTTAGGAAAGAGCCAGAAGGTGCATGTGCCAGATTTAGGAAATATGATGGATGAGGACACATTGTCATGCTTTTATGAACCTGCTTTTCCATTGGATGGTGCTCAGCAGCAGCATTCATTGAATTTTTGATCATACTTTGTAAAGACACTCAGGACTACTTTAGAAAGTGACAAGAAGCCAGGCCAGGTGGCTCACACCTGTCAGCCCAGCACTTGGGAAGCTGAGACAGGAGGATCCTCATGAGTTCAAGCCCAGTTTGATCTACACAGTGAGTTCAAGGCCCCGCCTCAAAAAACAAACCAAGCTACAGCCCCACCATCTCAAAACAAAAACAAAAACAAAGTGGCAAGAAGCCCAGCATGGTGGCACATGCCTGTGATCTCAGCATTCGGAAGGCTGAAGCAGGACGATCACCCTGAGTTCAAGGCCAGCCTGAACTACTTATAGTGAGACCTAGTCTCAAAAAAAAAAAAGTGACGAGGATGGGATCTGTGTTCAGTGGTTAGGGGTGCAGGAGTTGCTGTCAATGTGTCTTTCACTATCATAAACTTTTTGTATGTGGGCATTTCACGGTGTATTCAGATCACACCTCTACCCTGTTCTGGGTAAGACTCCACAGCTGTCCAGCTAGGAAACCCCAGGCCTCATCATGGAAGGGAGTAGGGGGCCAGCCTCTCCCGGGGTGCTCTCCTTCTCACATAGGGCCTGGGCCTTGTGGGTAGCAAGAATCCAAGCCTTTCCCTGTCCGTTTTGGAGCTCTGTGGTGGGCAGGGCTCCCTTCCAGGCCCACTTGGACTGACTGGTCCTCATGGTTCCACCTGTGAGACATCACAGGGTTAACACTTGGCCTGGTCCCTTCACAATGGTTGCCAGGGAGCAGGACTCCTCTCAGGCAGAAGGGGCCCAGCCAGCGAGGGCACAGCTAAGGCACCATGACAGCTACTCCAAAACACACCCTCTTCACACCAGAACCTCACTATGTCCCTGGCTAAGAGCTGGGAGCCCTCCCTGTGGGGAGGCTGGGTGAAGGGAGGGGCCTAACCTGGACCCCAGGAGCCTGAGGGGCTGAAGATCAGGGTCACCGGAGTGGAGACTGAGGTCCCTGAGGGCTAAAACGCAGCTCAGGAAAGCTGGGCTCGGCAAAGGCCCAGGCCTCACCCCGTCCCGCCCAGCTCAGACGCCGAACCAGGTGGCCGGTACGTCCATCAGAAGCAGAAACTGGGGCAGATGAACAGCTGGCAGAAGCTGGCAGAACAAACGGCAGACACCCACAGAGCTTCCCAAATTAGAGGACCTCAGGGAGCCGCCTCACTAGGTCCTCCCCAAGGAAGAGCACATCGCTCTGTGCGACCCATAAGACAAGGACAGGATATGAGGCCCAGGCCGCCTTTTAACCACGGGAAGTTGGGGTTGCTGACACTGACGCGGACCCTCAGCCTTCTCAACTAACAGGCCTGGGGTGGCCTTGGTGCCAGTTTTAAAAAGAAAAGAAAAAAGAATTCGGACCCAGGCATGGTGGTGCACACCTACAATCCCAGCATTCTGGGAAGCTGAAGCAGGATTGCAAGTTTGAGCCCAGCTTGGGCAATTCAGTGACAGTGAGAATCTGCCTCAAAACTAAAAATAAAAAAAGGGGCCGGGGATTTAGCTCAGTGGTTCTGCTGCCTGCCTGGCAAGCGCAAGGAACCGAGTTCGATCCCCAGTACCCAAATAATAATAATAATAATAATAATAATAGTAGTAGTAGTAAAATAAAAAATGAAAAGGTCTGAGGATCAATCCCAAATACTGGCAAAAGAAGGTAAGGAATATGGGGGGGACCACAACAATGCTGGCTAGGGGCATAGTTCAGGGGTAAAATGCTTGCCCAGCACACACAAGGGCCTGGTTTTGCTCCCTGGTACCACACAACAGAGAGAACAGGGGAGGGGAGGGGGGGAGAGGGTGGGGGAGAAGGGAAGACGGGGGCAGAGGGAGGGAGGGAGAGGAAAGAAAAACAATTCAGCCAGGCACAGAGGTGTGAGCCTGCGGTTCCAGCTACTTAGGAGGGTGAGGCAGGAGGATCTCTAGAGTCCAGGAGTTCAAGACCACCTGTCTCCAAAAAGACAATTTACCCTCCTTGGGTGACCACACAGCCCCTGCCCCAGCATGGTTAAACCACTGGCTACCTGCCCACCGGGGACCCTGTCCTTCTTCATGTAACTAAAGGACATTCCCCTTCGAAGCCCAGCCCTAGAGCCCTGGTCTAGTTAGCTGTGGCCTCCTGGGGTGGCAGAGACCCAGGCCAAACTCCACACCCTGCCTTCCTGCTGGGCTCCCCAGACTTGGGCCCCTTGCCGGGATTTGTCAGTCCCTGTGCCTGCTTTCATGGGGCAGAGCTCTGTTTCCCTTGTCCTTTGAGTAAGCAGGGAAGGTGGCGGGTTGGAGGACAGCCACCCCAGGGTGGCAGCCACCGATGGTGACGCGGGTGCAGCTCTCCTCCGGGCCAGCACGTGCTCAGTGGGGCAGGTGCTACCCCTGAGAGCCTGGGAAGGCTGTGGCTTCCACTGCCTCCATTTCACAGGCTCGCAGAGGCCGGGTGCCCTGCCCTGCGTCAACAGCAGCCCAGCAGCAGGCAGGCTGGGCCGGCCTCCTGCCCACAGGCCCTGCTCCGTGCTGGGCCAGCCTTGCCTCCCTCTCCTCTCCCCGCAGCTATGCTGGCTTTTACCCGCAGCTGCGCTACCAGGTGGGGAACACCTATGGGCGCACCACAGCACAGCTGCTCACAGACCCCAGCGTGCGGAAAAGCCCCTGCTCCGTGCTGTCTCCCACATGCAAGCCCAAGTTCACCGAGGATTTCAGCAAGTCCAAGCCGCCCTGGGTTTCCTGCCGGGACCTGGCTGAGCCCCACACCCCCCACTACACGGGTGAGCAGCCCCTTCCCCCGCCCTGTCCTCATGACCCACCCTCCTGCCCACGTGGTTACCGCCACCTGTCTGTGCAGGTCTGAAGCCCTACAGGAACTTCGAGATCCTGGGCAAGCTGCCACCGCAGGAGGTAGACGCCCAGGGCCCAGAGGGAGCAGAGAACACATCCAGACAGGTTGCGCTGGCCGCTGGCTTTATGCCCTATCCCCCCCTACCCTCCGTGCCCACCAGTCAGAAAGGGGGTCTCTAGTGACACGGGACACCCGGGCCTGAGACTGGCATATGGCAAAGAGGCCTGGAATAGTGCCAACCCTGTCAATGGGACCTCCAGGCAGCACCAGGTAACTCAGACACTATCCTGGGCCTCACCCTACACAGGTGGGGGCTGGGCACTGACCTGGCCCTCCCCTCGCAGCTGTACCACTGCAGGAGGGATGAGCATCCTCCCCCAGCCCACCAGCTGGAGACACTGGATGTGGATAGGTTCCAGGGGCTGCCCCAGCTGGACCACCCCAACCTGATCCAAAGAAAAGCAATCTCAGGTGTTTCCCCCATGGGGTTCCAGAGGCCCAGGCAAAACCGACGAGGGACACGGCTCTCCCCAGTGCCTTCCCACTCTGGAAACACCTGGCCTCCCCAGCCCAGCTTCCTTCCCCCTACCCACCTGTTCCCCCGTGGTCTCAAGACAGTCACCGTTAACAAAGGAGCTTGATGGGCTTCCTGGTTACGGTTAGGTGGGTTTGCCCAGAAGGCCTGAGGGGGACACTGATCCCACACCTCCCCCAGGCTATGCTGGCTTCATCCCCCAGTTCACCTGGGTGATGGGGATGAATTACCGTGATGAAGTCACACAAGCTATGGACGAGTTCGACAAGAACCAGGTAGGAGAGCACCATCCAGGGCCTGTGGCCAGGTCCCCAGCAGGTGCCCACACACCAGCTTTAGGTATCTGAAGGATGCACACAGTGGGTCTCCACTCCTCCCTGGCATCTTCGAGGCCTGGGGAGGGGGCCTGCCCCCAACCTAGCAAGGCCTGGTTCCTTGCCCTACATCTTCAGATACCTGTGAACTTGGCCCCTTTTCCTGGGGTTAAGCCAGCCCCAGGCCTTTTGCTTGTGGGTTACCAGGGGGTGGAAAGGCAGGGCAGCACCCACCAGCACCTGCCACTCTTCAGTTCCTGTCCAGAAACCCTGTCTGTCCACTGGGGAAGAGGCTGCCCAGGACACACTGGCCCCACACCACCATCTACAGCGGCCAGGGCTTGCTCCCCTTCTACATGGGCTTCGTCCCGTGAGCACAGCTTCCCGAAAAAGGTCCTTCTGACACAGCAGGTTGCCACAGGGAGGTCAAGGTGGCTGGGGCCCTACCCTGATCCACCCTTCACTGCAGGGCACTGTGCCCAGACCCACTGAGTTTTGCCCACCTCTTCCAGTCCCACTCCCTAAGGAGCCCGGCAGCCCCTCCTGTGAATTCCTAGGCAGAGGCTATCTGGTCCTCCACAGAAGGCAGAGGCTGAAGCCTGTAACCCAGGGGTACCTCAAACTCCTGAGCAGCCCCTTGGTCATCTGCATGCTTACCCCAGGCACGTGGGAAACCCAGCTCAGCTGAAGCCTTGCTGCTTTGCAGCCATGCAATGACATTCGGCAACAGCACTCGCAAGGCCTATCAGAAGGGACTCGAGAGGCGAAACCACACACTATGAAAATGCTTTAATGGTGGTGTCTGTACAGCATGTGATGTCAAGACAAGGACAGCAGTGCACACAGTGAGACAGGGCTATCAGAGCAGACTGTGGGCGAATAAAGAGTTCACGCCGCTTCCACACTTTACCAGCTAACAGACAGCTCTAAGCCACCTCCTCCTCGCCCTCCTCCTCAAACTCGCCCTCCTCCTCGGCCGTGGCGTCCTGGTACTGCTGGTACTCGGACACCAGGTCGTTCATGTTGCTCTCCGCCTCGGTGAACTCCATCTCATCCATGCCCTCGCCCGTGTACCAGTGCAGGAAGGCCTTGCGCCGGAACATGGCTGTGAACTGTTCCGAGATGCGCTTGAACAGCTCCTGGATGGCTGTGCTGTTGCCAATGAAAGTGGCAGACATTTTTAGCCCCCGGGGTGGGATGTCACAGACAGCTGTCTTCACGTTGTTGGGGATCCACTCGACAAAATAGCTGCTGTTCTTGTTCTGGACATTAAGCATCTGTTCATCCACCTCCTTCATGGACATGCGGCCCCTGAACACCGCAGCCACCGTCAGGTAGCGACCGTGGCGGGGGTCACAGGCAGCCATCATGTTCTTGGCGTCAAACATCTGCTGGGTGAGCTCAGGCACCGTCAAGGCACGGTACTGCTGGCTGCCCCGGCTGGTCAAGGGGGCAAAGCCAGGCATGAAGAAGTGCAGGCGGGGGAATGGCACCATGTTCACAGCCAGCTTCCGCAGGTCAGCATTGAGCTGGCCAGGGAAGCGCAGGCAGGTAGTGACCCCACTCATGGTGGCAGACACCAGGTGGTTCAGGTCACCGTAGGTGGGTGTGGTGAGCTTTAGGGTTCTGAAGCAGATGTCATACAGGGCTTCATTATCAATGCAGTAGGTCTCATCTGTGTTTTCTACTAGCTGGTGGACTGAGAGGGTGGCATTGTAGGGCTCAACCACTGTGTCCGACACTTTGGGCGAGGGCACCACACTAAATGTGTTCATGATTCGGTCTGGGTACTCCTCCCGGATCTTGCTGATGAGGAGGGTGCCCATCCCAGACCCAGTCCCCCCACCCAGGGAGTGGGTCAACTGGAAACCCTGCAGGCAGTCACAGCTCTCCGCCTCCTTTCTCACAACATCCAGCACGGAGTCCACCAGCTCTGCACCTTCCGTGTAGTGGCCCTTGGCCCAGTTGTTCCCAGCACCACTCTGACCTGGGAGAGACCACAGCTGGTCACACTCGAGCCAGATAAAGCGGTGACCAACACCCGAGCAACCCCACAAGCAGGGCAAATGGACCCTGACAGTGAAAAACAGAAGACAGCTCAGCAAACCCCTGCCAATTCCCAAGGACGAGAGTAGCCAAAGCTTCCATCTAGACGGCAAGAAGATTACATATACCTCTTCCAGCCTGCAGGCAGACAGCTGGGCCCTCCTCCCAAAGCCGCTTTAGGTAAGGGGATTGAGTGACTCAGAAGGCAAGAAAATGTCCTATGGGCTCCCAGCTACTGGGTTCAAAAGCTAAGAACCGCCGCCGGCCCGGCAAGCTCAAGGACCCGAGTTCCATCCCCGGTACCAAAAAAAGCCCCCCAAAACAAAAGCCATAACCTTGGTTCGGAGCAGCCCCTGGACCTTTGGGCCGCGCAGCCCGCACCTGCACTCACCGAAGACGAAGTTGTCAGGCCTGAAGATCTGCCCGAAGGGCCCCGAGCGCACAGAGTCCATGGTGCCGGGCTCCAGATCCACCAGCACGGCGCGGGGCACATACTTGCCACCTGGGGAGGTCGGGTGTCAGCGAGGGGAGGCCTGCGGGCCGCACGTGGGCGGGGGCGGGAGCTCTTACCGGTGGCCTCGTTGTAGTATACGTTAATGCGCTCCAGCTGCAGGTCGCTGTCTCCATGGTACGTGCCGGTAGGGTCGATGCCATGCTCATCGCTGATCACCTCCCAGAACTGCGAGGGACGCGGGAGGGCGCAGGCTGAGTCACGGCGGCCGGTGCGCCCAGGGGCGGCCCCGCCCCGGATGGGCGCGGCGCGCTCCCCTCCCCCCACCTGCGCGGCCGGCCGCCCGGAGCCTGGAGCACGACCCTGCGCGGTCCCGGCCAGGCCAGAGTTACCCGGGGCCGCAATGCGGGACGCCGCCCGCCCGGCCGCTGCCGCCATCTTCCCCCAGTTGCCTGCCCGCCTGCCCTCCAGCCCGCCCGCGGACCGGACCGGTCCCGTCCGACCGGCCCGGCCTGCGTGTACCGACCATTCACCTTGGCGCCGATCTGGTTCCCGCACTGCCCAGCCTGCAGATGCACGATCTCCCTCATGGTGACGACCGCGGCGTCGGCGACAGCTAAAGCGTTAAAGTACTACTACAGGTGCAGAGAAGCAAACGCTCACAGTGTCACAACCGACGCACTGCTAGTGCTTATATACCAGCGGCGCCCGCCTCCGCTGGCCTCGGATTGGACTTTCAGAACGAGGCCGGCGAATACTCTCATCCTATTGATTTAACTTTCCGTCAATCGAGCCACCTAAGGCCCGCCTTTCTATCGATATCTGTTTGTTATTGGTCAGCCACGGCTGCTGATCTTCCTATCACATTCCCGCCCCCTGCGCTGCAGTGCTTTGCTCATTGGAAGTTTCAAATGATTGATTTACTCTCCCATTGGCTGTCTCCCAGGAGTACGCCGACAGGCTGATGCTATTGGCTGTGCGGTTTAGCGTCCTGGTAACCGCCGCAGTGCCGCGGGAGGCGCGCGCGGGGAGGGGGCGCGGGACGCGGGTTTCCGGCCGAGGTTGCGGTCTGAGTCGCGGGCCTGGGCGGACTCCACAGCCCTAATGGGTCCGGCCCACGTCTTATAGAGAGCAGTTGTGGCGGAGCTACGCCTCATGGGGGCCGGCGGGGCGGTACAGTGGGGACGCACTTGAGCTCGGGGGCGCATTACGGGCCCCAGGTGGCTCCTAGGCGAGGCGAGGTGCGGGCCACCAACGCCAAGAAAGAGACGCGGGCTGCCGTGGGTTCACCTTGTCCCCGCCTGCGCCCCGTGCACGCGGTCCCCACCGCGCGCGCCTGCCCGCGCGCCGTGTTGTGGAGACGGCTCTGGCCGGGCGCCTGTCGCCTAGGAGCCGGGGCTGCGTGGAGACGGGCGACCAGCATGCCGGGCCACGAAGCGCTTTGTCCTCGAGAGGGAAAACGGGTGTGGAGGAAATACATGCAGTTGGCCCTTTAATCGGCTTTGAAAACAGTACCTTTGCCTTTCACTTTAAAGTGTTTTTTAAAGGAGCAGATCACACCATGGGGTCTAACCCTGCTGAGGCTGGCGGTCTGGGTGGACTTGCCCCTCTGCCTTGCAGTCAGAGACTTGGAGGCAGCACCTGCTTACATATTTACATATTTTTCCTTTCCTTTTCTTTTCTTTCTTTCTTTCTTTCTTTCCTTCTTTCCTTCTTTCCTTCCTTCCTTCCTTCTTTCTTTCTTTCCTTTCTTTTCTTTTTTTTATTTTGGTACTGGGGATTGAACTCAGGACTTTGGGCTTGCCAGGCAGGCGCGGTGCCACTGAGCTAAATCCCCGGCCCCTACATATTTATTTTCTTGGAGGAAGCGCACCTCCTCCCTTACCACAAAATGCATGATACCACAGTTACGATATCCAGTGACCGGAACTGTCTCGGGAAAACTTGCCAGGACATGCGGCATCAAGTGTAGAGAAAGTAGCAGGCCACGCTCACGTCCACTCCAGAGTGGTCTAGCTGCAGCTGGGTGGGTGGGGCTGTTGCCAGGGTAGTACCCTGACAAGGAGGGTGAGTCAGCAGGTCACCGAGCCAGGTAGTCCCTGCAGGGCTGGAGTCTCCATCCCCTCTCCCACAGACTGGCCCAGGAAGTGGGACGTGGTTCCTGTGACCATGCCAACATAGGGTCTGTTCCTCAAAGAAGGGCTGGAGTCCACATTGGCATGTGGGGTACACAGGATCCTCCTGGTGCCCAGAACAGCATGTCCTGGAGTCGACTCCAGCCCTGCCCAGTAGCTTATCTGCCCGAGCAGTAGGCGAGGAGGGCCTTTACAGCTCCTTCAGCAATCGGGGAGGAGTCCAGTGTTTTCCCCACTCCCCAAAACCCCTGCCACAGCTGCCCTTTGAGGTGTTTGGGCTCCAGTGTCCTTGCACCCTCAAAGCCACTTCTCAGGGCACACATCCACTGGAAAAGGGCCCCGCTTTCCTGACCAGTGCCCACGGGGCTGGGAGGTCAGGGTGGCGCCCTCATTTTACAGTTTACAAAACACAGTTTGCATCATTGGCCCAGGTGGGAGCCAGAGCTCTCCCTGGCGCCAGACTGTCTGCCTGGCCCCTCAGGTTGCCCTCACGAGGAGGATCCTGGCTGGGGACAAGACGGTGGTACACACAGCTGGCAGAAGAGGCCGTCAGATCCAGCCTGGAGGGGAGAGGACAGAATGGGACAGGAGGGCCCGGGCAGGATGAACACCAGAGAGAACCAAGAGGGCAGGGAGGTGAGCAGGAGGGGCTGTGGGAGCGCTGGGCACCTGGCCTGGCTCTCCAGCCTGCAGCTGTTGAGGCGTCCACAAGGCAGGCTCTGTTTACTGGTGGCCATGGTCCCAGTGGGAGGGTGCGTTACCGCCTGGCAGGGGCAGCAGACAGACAAGCAGTGAGGCCTTAAAGGACCCTGTTGCAAGCCTTTGTAGGTGGCCTCCGTTGTCCCGGAAGGAGAGGTGCCTGCCTGGTGTTTCCCCCTCCAGAAGGCCTCTCTGCCTCCCCAGCAGGTCTCCCCAGGGAGCACCCAGGCTCTGTCTCCAAAGGCCACCACGAGTTGATGCTGGCTCTGCAGGAGCCACTTGCAATTGCTATGGGGGAGGACCAAGGCCAGCCTGCAGAATCTGCTGGGGCACGGCCCACCCTGCGCTCCTGGGCTCCCAGAGCAAGGCTCACCTCCTTCAGAGGGTGAAACCCAGTCCTGGGAGGCCTAGGCGTTGGGTCGGTGGCAGAGGATGTGGGAAGACAACCAGATCTGTCCCCAGCTGACTGCCAGTGTTCTGCAGTGGGGCGAGCCTTCCCTGATGCTAGGGCGGGAGTGGGCCTGGAGGTGGCAGGAGGCTCGATCTGTCCCTGGTGTTACCCGTGCTGCAGATGAGCCTTCCTGTGCGGGAACCACCCGGCCTCTTCTGGGCATTCCGCGGGGGGCAGGGGCGGGGCGGGGGGGCTGGTGGGCCCTGATCCTCTCCCGGGGAGAATCCCTCAGCGAGCCCGGGGGACTAGGAGCGCCCCCTGGCGCCAGGGAAACAGCCCCGCCCTCCGCAAGGTTCTGTGGGGCAGGACAGGGCGGGGCACCTTAGGGACAGCGGGACCCCGCCCCGCCGCTGCCGGCCCAGCCAGGCCACGGCCCTCCGAGCACCGGCCTGGGCGCGGGGGTGGGGGGCAGTGCCTCCACCTGCAGCCGCGAATGGGCTCCCCCTCCACCTCGTGGGCCAGCTCCTGTGTGAGAGGCCTCCCCCTACAGGCTGACTGTCCCCAGGGCCGCAGGGAGGAATATCACCTGCCCCTGGCCCCTGAGTGTCCGCTAGGGGCAGCATCGAGCCGCGCCTCCAGCTCCAGCGGGACCCTTCCCTGGAAGCCCCGTCTAGGGAGAGACCACCACTCCTGGGTAACACCCTCGTTTATTTGCAAAAGGGTGCAGCGCCTCAGAAGAATTGTGCCCGCAGGGACACATGGCAGGCCAGCTCTCCAACAGCACCAGTCTCAGCCCGATGGGGCTGGAAGGGTAGGCGGGCACCCACCCTTCAAAACTGCTGGGAGGCCAGGACCTCAGGAGTCTCGTAGCAGCACGCCTCTTTGGTGGCCGTCTGGGGGCGAGTGCAGGCCCTGCGTGGGCAGCAGTGGGTCACGAGGCGGTCCCAGGGCTCCAGAGATCGGAGAGAGAGGGGCAGCCAGGCCCAGGAGCGAAGGCTGCGGGGCAGCCAGGATGGTCGGCGCCGCTGCAGGACGTTAACCAGGATGAGGAGGAGCACCAGCCCCACCAGGGGCGCTCCGACAGTGGCCAGCACCGTGCCCCCTGCCAGAGAGAGCCCAAAGACTGCCAGGGGCAGCAGCAGGAAGGTGAGCAGCAGGTAGACGACGGCCACCCAGCGGTAGCGGGCAGTCAGGTCCCCAAAGTGCTTGGCCAGTGGGATGGGCAACCGCAGGACAGGCACCATGTACCACAGCAGAATGCCAGCAAGGTTGAAGAAGAAGTGGATAAGGGCGACCTGGTGGGCAGGGAGGGTCAGGAGCCTGGGTCAGGTGAGGGGGGTCACCGGGGCTCTCTGCCCCTGGCCTCTGCAGAAAGGGCCTAAGTCTGAAGCTTCTCCTGTTCGTCCTGTTTGCAGCTGAGATGGGCCCCTGGGAGAGCAGGTTCCAAGTGTGGGCAAATGCCCACCACCCACCCGAGCGCACATACAGAGAGTCGGGAGTCTGAGCCAGCACCCCTGTTGGTTACTCCATCCCTGCTGGCTGGGGGAGGAGGCCCAGGGCTCCATGGCTCCTCCAGGAGTGGACAAGGCTGGGGGCTTCCAGGAGGGGCTGGGGTAGGGCCCCTGCACTGGGAGGGGCAGGGGCAAGCATTCAGGAGGAGCCAGGCAGGCAATGGCTAATCTCCTGGGAGCAGCAACCCAGCATGATCCCAGTTTCAGAGCTGAACCTGTGTGCATACCTGGGCAGAAGGCAGCTCTAGCCAGCACAGGGTGCTTTAGAGAGAGAATCGGCAGCACTGTGGGCCCGGAAGTGGGGCACAGAGGGGCACTTGGCAATGGAGGGGGCATGCTGGAAGCAGAATTGCAACTGGGCATGGCCTGAGTGGCCATCATAGGTGGGTGGGGCTCTGCGGATGGAGGCTGGGAAGATGGCCATTGCTCAGGGGGCCACTGTTGGTTTAGAGCAGCTGGCTCATGGGCAAATGATGTGGGTAGAGAGGCACCTTGCAGATGTGGAACACAGTGCTTGGAACCCCCCGCCCCGGCTGGGCCAGGTTGAAGTGTGGAGGAGCAGGGAGAGAGAAAGGGGCAGCAGGCACAGGCATGGTCCCAGCTCTTCTGAGAAGGCGGCCCTGGGAAGGATGGATCTGGGGCGGGGCCCAGGCCAGGAGGAAGCAGGAGGGGCCCCTGGGTGGTACCTGGACGGCAGAGAGCAGCATGTCTGAGGGGCTGGCCAGGGCAGCCAGCAGGGCCGTGGTGGTGGTGCCAATGTTGGAGCCCAGGAGCAGTGGGTACGCCCGGTCCAGGCTGATCACCCCAACACCTAGGCAGTGAGGAGTCAGCACAGGGCCCAGGCAGAGCCCCTGCTGCCCTGCAGGCCCACCGCCAGCCGGGTCTCACCCATGAGTGGCACAACGGCTGCCGTGAAGACACTGCTGCTCTGGAGCAGGAAGGTCATGCCAGCACCCACGAGGATGGCCAGGCAGCCGCTGAGCCAGCCGAAGGGGAAAGGGAAATCTGGGGACGAGCCCTGAGTCACAGCCACACCCCAGCCCTGCCCTCAGCCCCAGGTCCTGGGTCCCTTGGCACCTGCGTTGATGACGGTCCTCACAGCCTGGGCAACACGACCTCGAAGCACAGAGTTGAGCAGCTTGACAATGAGGACCAGGCATGCGCTCAGCACCAGCAGGGAGCCGGCCAGCAGGATGCAGCCCACGGCTGGATCTGTGAGCACCGAGCCCACAAACAGGTGGCGGCCTGGTAGAAGGCGGGCAGGGCAGGGCAGGGCAGTGAGCAGGTGAGGCATGGCGTGGCCGGGCGCAGGGGCAGGAAGTGAGGTGGGCAGGCGGGCAGGGCTCACAGGGCAGCCTGTCTTCGAGGGCTGAGCTGTTCTTCCCGGCGCAGGGGCTGAGGGCTCCAGTTCCATTGCTGTGGCCCTGGCTCTGGTAGGGGCAGGGAGGACTCAGGATGGCTCGGTAGGCCGTTGGAGTGGGCGGGGCATTTCAGCAGGTCAGAGGTCAGGGCAGGGCTGGGTCGGGGGCACCTCACCGGCTCCCTGCTGCGACCGCACCACTGCCTAATGAGGCTGCTGGTGGTGTTGTTGCCAGTGGCACTGCTGGCTATCAGATCGCCATCCAGCTGGGGGGCAAAGGGGCCAAGACTCAGCAGGAGCCCCAATGTCCACGGGCACAGGGCGGCCTGGTGCCCACTCCACCCTCTTTCTCCGGCTAGGGCAGGGGCTGTGCCTCCCCTTCTGGGCTTTACCTGCACGATGAGGTGTGTGAGTGGCTTTGTCAGTGCCTTGAGGACGTCGGGGGGCCGTGCCCCAGGCTGCAGGCGGGCGACGCCCAGGGCCAGCGCACTCAGCCTCTGCAGCAGGGCCACGGCACTCTCCAGGGGCAGCAGGACCAGCACCGTGAGCCAGTTGAAGATGCCATGCACAGCCGAGCCACTGAAGGCCCTGTGGCCACACAGGGCAGGCTGTCCGGTGGCCTTGGCCATGGCCACTGCCACCTTCTATCCTGACTCCCCAGCCCCACTCACCTACGAAACTCGTCCCGGTCCCCTGACTGTGCCATAGAGACCAGGGTGCTGGTGATGGAGGTGCCCACGTTGACACCCATGATGATCGGGACAGACGCCTGGACGCTCAGCACTGTGGAGATGCTACTTCAGCTGCCGCCCGCCCAGCCCGCGTGCCCGCCACCCCCTGTGGAGGGGAGGGGACTCACGCTTGGAGGCCACCATGCTGACCACAATGGAGGAAGATGTGCTGGAGCTCTGCACAAGCACCGTGACCAGCACACCGATGACCAGTCCCGCCACAGGGTTGGACAGCACCACGTTGTCTTTGAAGACGTCTCCAGCCATTCTGCCTACACCCAGGACAGAGGGGCACTGAGACTGCAGAGGGCCAGCTGTCCTTCCCCACCCCGCTGCCCTTCTGGCCACTCACTGCCCAGCAGCTGGAAGCCAGAGCTGAGGATATCCAGGGAGCAGATGAAGAAGTAGAGGCTGCACAGGAGCCCACAGGCCTTGAGAAGGCCGACGACCGTCCTGCGCATCCTGCCAGCCATGCTGAACGCTGTGGACACAGGGCAGGGCATCCTTGGCCGGCCGGCCACCACCACCTGCCCAGCACCCTCCACCCCTTCCCCACTGCCCCATGGCAGAGTCCAGGAACCCCCTCCTGTGCCACTGGGGAGGGGACCATTTTCATCTCCTCTGTCCCCAGGCCAGGGCCTGGGTTGCCTTTGTCCTCAGCCCCTGTTCCCTGCAGCGTGACCACCAGCAGGGCAGAGGAGGCAGGGCCAGTGTGGCCTTGTATCTCAGGATGGGGCACAGCTGAGCAGAGGGCCACAGGCGTCCCGGGAGCTGGCTGCTGGGTGGGTTCCCCTGGGGCTTGTTTGGGTGAGCTGTGCCCTGCACTTCCGCCCCAAACCTGACCTACCTTTCAGCTGGCCTGTGTCCTTCAGCTGAGAGAGGGCCCAGGGGTCCATGCTGCCCTCCTCCAAGGCTGGGACAGAACTGGAGGTCCCTGCGGGGGTTAGGTCAAGTAGGGCTGTCTCTAGACCCCCAGGAGGGGACTCGGGTGAGGGAGGGCTCGGGGCATAAGGGACACAGGGTTCTTCTGTCTGGGGTGTGTCGTTGGAGGTGGAGGTCTGGGGCTCCTTGTACCTGCGTTTCTCGGGCTCCTGTCCACCAGGTCGAGCGTAGCCAGATTGGGGTGGGGGACCTGCCCACCAGCAAGGGGATTCCGCATGGATTGTGGGCAGGGGCAGACCCGGGACCAGGCCAGATGTGCTAGGGGAGGGCGGGTTAGAGGCGGATGGCCCCCACCCTCCCCCACCCTGGCCTGCTCCGTCTGCTGCCCCTGCAGGCCCCCAGACTTGCCTTCCCTCTGTCCATGGAGGTGGCTGTAGTGACCTTACGGGTGTCAGACAAGCCCAGACCAATTTTTAGGGGGCAGAGTCAAGGAGCTCCTGATTCCCTGGCTCCCAGGCCTGGTGGTGGCACAGGGCACAGGGTTCTGGGGTGCAGGTGGGCACTGCCCAAGAGCTAAGGAGCCCTGAGGCCTCTCCTATCAGGTGTCACTGGGGATACTGTGGATGACCTGGGCGTAGACTTGGGTATCCGACACAAATGGCACCAGATGAGGAGCAGGCAAGGGGCTCAGGCACGCAGCCCACCATGCGGCTCCTTTCCCTGCAGCTCTGCCTTAGCCCACTGCCTCTGGACCTTCCCTTCCACCCTGTAGCCTGGCCTCCCGCTCAGTCCCTGGGCTCAGCTTGCGAGTCTGTGGATCCCTTCTGTCTTCCCTGGGCCAGGCTGGTGCTGCTTGCCCCTGGGTCCTGGGGGCTCAGCATGGGGTCCCATCCGGCCTTCCTGTCCCTGGGCCCTGGCCTGGTTCTGGGAGCTCCTACCTGTGTGGATGGTGAGGGGTACCCGTAGGGAGGAGGCAGCAGGAGCAGCTGCAGGTCAAAGATTCACTGGGTGCCCACATGACCTGCCATGTCCTGAGCCCCATTAATGTTTACCCAGGTGCTGAGGCCCCGAGGGGAGCCCCTGCCTGGCCCCACTGCCCCCAGGCATGGTCACCCAGGGGTAGGAGCTCTGAGCCCCGGTCAGCAGCCCTCTTGGAGCGCCCAGGGATACAGTCCGTTTCAGGCGCGGGCATTGCTGGGCTGGACACTGGATGCCCACATCCAGCAGGAGGGGTCTGTGACCCAGCACAGTCCATACCGCCTGAGGCTTAGGCTCTGCAGATCATGGGGGTCTCCCTGCCCCTGCAGGTGCAGGAGGGAAGCCCTGAACTAGGTGTTCAGGGATGGCAGGTTTTCTCCAGTGGGCAGTGGGTTCTGAATCAAGTCCAGGGCATGGTGTCCCCGGCTGCCGCAGAGAGCTTTGGGGAGGGCTAGACTCATCTTCAGGGGCATGGGGGACTTTGCCCCAGGTGAGGAGGAGGCCTGGTGTCCACTCAGCGAATTCTCTTCCTTCCCTATCTTGCCCAGCCCCCTGCAGGGGGAGCTCCCAGGGCTCCCAGATAATGGCTCCTTCCTGCAGGGTGGGGTGCCACAGCCCTGATCTGGGGGGACGAGCACCCTAGCCTCTGGCATCCTCTGAGAGTCTGTGTTGAGGCTGCATGGGAGCGTGGATGGCCCAGCTGAGTTGTGCAACCTCAGGCCGGCCCACTCCCTCTCTGTGCTCAGAGCTGACCCTCCACGATGCCGTGCTGGATGCCTGCCCTAATGGGGGATCCTGCTGGAACAGGGCCAGACTGTGATGGGAGCTCAGGGAGTTTATGTTGTTGAGTGGATGAAATTTTATTATTATTATTATTTTTTTTTGGTACCGGGGATCAAACTCAGGTCTTTGCACTCGCGAGGCAGGCAGCAGAACCACTGAGCTAAATCCCCTGCCCAAGTGGATGAAATTTATAGTTTGTGTGTAGGTCAGGGATGGAGGAGGTAGCCCTGCCCTGCTTCTGGCTCATCCCTCTTCCTGGGAGAGGGGCCCCTGCCCTGAGGGCTCCACCCACTCAAGACCAGCTCCAGCCTGGCCCTGCCCTTTGGCCTGCACCTGCATCCTGGGGTCGGCCATTGCAGCCTCCAGCAGCTGCTTCTAAGCTAACCCCAGGCCTGCTTTCAGGTCACTCTGAGAGCAGGCGCACAGTCAGGCCACTAGGGTCGGCGAGGCCACCAGCCCCCTGCACAGTCTCTGGGCACCAAGGCTGCCGCCCCTCAAGCTGTGGCCTGCGGGTGTCCATGGTGGGGTTGGCAGCACCTCGAGGGGCCACATGGGGCTGCACCCAGATGGTGAGCCGCCCAGTGGCTCTGGGTGGCCCGTGGTTGCCCCAGGCAGCCATCCCCCTTCAAGGGTGGTCAGGGCTCAGACCGCTGGGGGCCCCAGCATAAACGGCTACAACTGCAGCAGCAGGGTGGGCATCGGGGCCGGGGGGAGTGGGCTTGGGGGCCCAGGGCGAGGTGGAGCGCGGCTGGCTGCTCCGTGACTGCGGCATCGGCCTTGAGTGCAGGACCCTGCGGCTGTGCCCTCGCTGGCTCCCGCTCGGCCTTGATGGCCAGGAAGGCGGCCAGGTCCAGGTCCAGCATGGCCACCCCTCCGCGAGGCGTGGGTGTGCTCTGGCGGCACTGCGGGCAGGGGATCCAGCGCTGCCCGTGGGCCAGGGCATCCAGGTGCCGCACGCATGCCTGGCAGAAGGTGTGGCCGCAGTACAGGCGGCGGGGCAGGTGCCCGGTGAGGTCGTAGGCCGAGTAGCAGACGACGCAGTCGTTCGGCCGGGCTGTGGGGGCCGCCCCCCCCTCCAGGGGCCAAGGCCCCTCAGGCTGCAGCATCCTGGGCAGGGAGGTGGTGGGCACAGCGGCCGTGTCACAGCCCACACTGCCTGCTGCTGCAACACGCGGTGAAGGTGGGTGCTGGCCCAGGGGACGGCACCAGGCCGCGGGGCTGGAAGGCGGCTGCTGACCCTGGGGGCAGCCGGGGGCCGCAGGAGGTGCTCTGGGCAGCGTCCTGCCACCCGCCGGCTGTGACCCCTCCCACCCAGCCAGCCCGAGGTGCAGCAGCTCTTACCTGCATGCGCTCCTCTGGGCAGCTGTGCCTGGGCAGAAGGTGGCTGGAAAGGGGGTTAGGGCCCTGGGGCAGCCGGGGCTCCCTCCCTGGGCTCGAATTACTGCCCCCACGAGGAGGCAGGCAGCAGGAGGCAAGCAGGGCTGGGCTGGGCTGCGCTGTGGAGTGGGCTCCCCTTTCAGCCACAAAGCAGTGCAACTGGATCTGACACCACTCGCTTGCAGGAGCTAAGGTGACCCCTCCTCCACATGTGCTGCTGCCCAGACCCCTCCCCAGCCCTCCAGACCTGGCTTCCCTGCCCCCCAAGACTTCCCTCTGTCTGGCATGGTGGCCTGTGCCTGTCATCCCAGCTGGCCAGGAGGCTGAGGCAGGAAGATCTCAAATTCAAGCCCAGCTTAGGCAATCTAGGAGACCCTGCCTCAAAAAACAGGTCTGGCTGGGAACAAAAGGCATTTCAGTTTGAATCTGAAGTCAAGAAAAGCCCAGTGTCCCAGTTCAAAGGTAGGCAAAAGGAATTCCTTCTTCCTGGAAGGAGAGTCAACCCTTTTGTTCTATTCAATCCTTAGACTGATTAGACGAGGTTCACCCACATACTTTATTCAGTCAAACGTTCATGTCACTCAGAAACACCATATTAGTTTACTTTCCATTGCTTGAATTAAACATATAAGAGTGGGTAAATGTGTATGAAAAGTGGTTTAGTTAGCTCATTGTTATGGCTTGTATCCAAGTGTCCCCCCCAAAGCCTGGTGCAGTCATAGGCTTTTTGGAGGTAGCTAGATCTAGGGTGTGTGCTGATGGGATCAAAGATATGATGCTGTGATTGATTCATGGTGCTATGCTAGGATGAAGGGTGGCCCACCCTGGGTGTGAGTGCTACCTACCCTAAGGGTGGGTGGTCTGGATAAGATATAAGGGATAGAAAGAGGTTTGCTGTTGGTTGCTTATTGATTGCTGCTTTTTGCCTTCTGCCCACCATGAACTCTTTCTCCTCTGCGATGCCCCTCTGCCATGCCATGCTGCCTTGGAGCCAACCAACTATGGACTAAAACCTTTACAAACTGTGAGCCAAATAAACCTTTCCTCCTTAAAAAAGCAAAAAAAAAAAGGAAAAAAAAACAGGTTTGAGCCGGCTGTGGTGGTGCACACGTATAATCCCAGCACTGGGGAAGTTGAAGCAGAAGGATTGCTGCAAGTTTGAGGTCAGCCCGAGCTACATCGTGAGTTCAAGGCCAATCTGAACTATGTGAGATGCTCTCCCCCCCAAAAATCGAGGGTACTGCTCAGTAGTAGAGAGCTTGCCTAGCATGCACCAGGCCCTGGGTTCAGTGTCCCCAACTTCACAGAAAAATAAATGGCTCCTCTCCCTCCCTCTTGCGTCCTCTCCATCCCACTGCCTTGTTGGCAGTGTCTACCCTGCAGCCCCAGGGCACATTACCTCCTCCAAGAAGCCTGCCTGACCCCCTGGGGCAGAGCCCAGCCCCTGCTTCTCTGCAGCAGGACGTCCTGCTGTGCAAGTCCCTGCCAGGGTGGCCGGTCTCAGCCTGGTCCCTGGGCTGGGGCCGTGGTGTTCCCCTCCTGACCCCGAGGTGGCGCTCATGTACTGTGCGTGGTGTCCGGGTCCCCGCACCAGGGCCATCCTAGCTGGCCTCTGCAGCCTCCTGGCCAGCAAAGGAGCTATGATTTTGGGACGTGCGGCCAGTGTGCCAGGTGCTCTGGGCTGCGGACAGGGTGGACCTGGGGGGCCCAGTGGGATTAGACCGGCGGGCAGAGCCCTTGGGACCCCACCACAGCCCCACAGGGAAGCCTAGGGCAGAGTGGCCACCAGCAGGCATGCGGTACCTTGCCAGTCGGCTGCAGGACTGGTCAGACAGGTTCATGTCCTGGGCCGGTCGGGGCGGCCTCCAGAGCCAGCTAGGAGTCCTCAGTGACTTGTCTACCCCATGCCCCAGGACCTCTGAACATCACACACCACCCTTCCCCGCCATCTGACCAAGCGCGATGCATCCAGGGATGGCCAGCCACAGGAGGACTCATCCGTCCCGTGAGGCCAGCTCTGCTTCCACCTCCGCTCAGTGCTGTATCTGGTGTCTGCCCTACTCTGGAAACAGCAGGTCTCCGCACACTCCCTGCCCTGGCATCCCAGCGCCCTGCAGGTGCCTCACCTTCAAGGCCGAGTGCAGGACCTCCTCCAGGAAGCCCAGCCCAGGGGGAAGCAGCAGAAAAGACGCCTGACCAAGACTGGGAGGTGACTCACAGTGGGCCGGGCTCTTCCTGGGCCGTCCTGCTCCACTCCCTGAAACCTGTGGCACCAGCCCCACCCGCACCATTCTGCCAACTGGGTGTAGGCCTCTCCAGGGGCTCCCCAGGAATGGACTGTGGCATCCCTTGCTGCGTGTCTTGAGGATTGACCCCGTCCACTGTCCTGACCTCGGCCCAGGGAGTGCAGGCCTGGCCCTGGTGGTGAACAGGCTCTCAGCCCCTAGGCAGACCTGAGACGTGCAGGGCAGGCTGAGTGGAGATGTATTAGACCCTGGCTTCCCAGTCCCTGAGAGGTCCCACAAGGCTGGGGATGCTGTGTGTGTCTGTGTGTGTGTGTGTGCGCGCACGCATGCACAAACGCATGTGTGCAGGGGGCAGACGTAGTCGTCTGGCCCAGGACGCCCTCCCAAGGGGGCCAGCCAACAAGAAGGAATCGCTGGCACAAAGCTCACCCTCCTTTATTGCCTGGGCTTTGCGGCCAGTGGTCAAGGGGGTCCCCGCTGCCACCTGGATGGCCAGTGCCCATGACTGTTCCAAAAGCCCCCGCTGAGCCAGCTGGCTGCCAGGTGGGCACAGTCCCCGTCCAGGGCAGCAAGTGGCAGGAGTCCGTTGACAATGGTTGCCCCTAATGTCCGGCACCGCCACGGCCCAGAGCAGAGCCTGGTGCCTCTCAGTGGGCGGGCTAGAGGAGGACACAGCAGCAGCTGTGACAGCGGCAGAACGGCGGGCAGTGGCAGCAGGAGCAGCAGGGGCAGCAGCAGCAGTGGTGCGCGATGTCGTCACCGCGCCCCAGGGGCGGCCGGCCAGCATAGGTCAGTCCTCCCGGGCGCTGCCCACTGCCGTAGGGATTGCAAGGCTGCCCCCAGGACTGCTGGCTCTGGCTGGGCACAGCCCCCTTAGCTCCCTTTGCCCCCTTGGCTCCCTTGGGCACTTCAGCCTCAGTGGGCCACAGGACCCGAGCTGGCACCGGGGTACAGGTTGCTGTGGGCAGAGGCTGAGTCTCCGAGGATGAGGACGAGGAGGGAGCCTCCTCTAATTGCTGCCCCAGGTCAGGCCGCAGGTGAGCCCGGGGGATGCTGATGTGGGTATATGGGTTCTTCACGACCATCTCGTGGGGGTCCATGGCCAGGCTGCAGGGTGGGCAGACACAGACACTGGCTCAGGGGTGGGGACAGCTGTCCAGGAGTCTTCAGCCCAAGAGAGCACCTCCCCAGGAGGATCCTGGCTTGCAGAGGCCCTGGAGCCCAGGCACCAAGAGGGTGCTGTGTGTATAAGGCCATGTGCCAGGCGCTGAGCCCAGCTGTGAGCCAGAGCCAGTGTCTCCAGCTGCCACCCGCGTCCAGACACTGCCTCTGAGACAGATCTGGCAATGGAACTGGGGAGCTGGGAGCTGCAGCTGTGTGGTAGGGAGGGCGGGGGTCCAGCAGGCCTGCCCCTAGGCCAGGACTCACCTGCAGTGCAGCGGTGCTGTCTGTCCTCCCAGTCCGCCCAGCGCCTGTGTGCAGGGCGAGCAGCCACCTTTTCCCTCCTAGGGAAGGGTGTGGCCCTGGGGCGGGACTCAAGGCTGGGGTTCCTGACATCAGGTGGCCCCAGCAATGGGGAGCTCAGCACCTGGCCCACCCCTCCTGCTCAGGTGGGCGGCAGCCACAGTGTGGGCCTGAGGGGCACTGCCAAACCAGGTGACTCAGAGACCGCGAATCCAGGCCGTGGCCCAGTGAGGAGGACCTGGGTCACGGCCCCAGGAAGGAAGTGGGACCAGGCCCCAGATTCCACAGGCCCTGCTCACCCCACACCCAGGGCCCTGGCAGGGTAGCGCTCCTCCCTGCCCGGCCTCACTGCACAGGCCCCGTGCTGGCGCTTTTATAAACAATAAAAAGTGGGCCAGGGATTTAGCTCACTGGTTCCGGCACCTGCCTGGAAAGCCCAAGGTCCCGAGTTTAATCCCCAGGTCCCAAAAATAAATTAAGTAAATAAATAAATAAACAAACAATAAAAAGGGACTGATACGCCTTTGTGAGTAAATCTCTCCGATCCCAGAACTGGACGCCCGGAGTCAGTCTCAAGCGACCTTCCGGGGCAGGGGGGCTGCGGAAGGCTCCGGGCCCTGTGCCCCATCCTTGGCGGGCACCCTCGCGGGGTCGCCGTGGAGTGACACTGGGAGCAACCACGGGGCAGGCCTGGGGGTCCCGCGTGGGTCCCCTGTGGGTCCCCCGTGTGACCGTGCCCGGCAGAGCAGCCTCGCAGAGCAGCCTTGGCCAGGGCTCGGCTCCTAAGTCCTCGCACCCTGGGAAGCAGGAGGAAGGCAGGACCAGATCGGACGTGGCCGCACCCCACGGTGACCGGGGTGGCCTGGGAGGAGCTGGGTAGGCCGACCCGGACACCCGTCCCCACGACCCAGCTTTTGGGGAAAAGTGGGTCTGCAGACCCCGGATTTCGCAGGCGAGGGAACAGGGACTACTGCGTAGGCGCGGGAAGCATCAATCAGGCCAGGCAAACCCCGCCCCCCGTTGCGAGCCGGAGCCCGGCGCATGCGCGAGCGAGGCCGTGGCGCTTGGTGGAAACTTTATTCCCCAGAATCCTCCGCGCTGCGCTTCAGGGTTTCCCAAAGATCCGGTTCGGACACCCAGATGCTTGGCTATGGACTCCTGGTTCTGAACGGCCGGCCCGGGCTTCTCCCTGGGGCGGGGCCATAGGCAAGGGGCGGGGCCTACGGGGCGGTACCTCCCCGGGCGCGCGCGGGCCAGTTTAAGGTTGGGGTTAGGGTTATTGAGCCAGAGTCTCTCGGGTGGGCTTGGGGCCTCCTCTGGCCGCTTCACCCTGCTCACCCCCATCGTGCCCGCCATGCCTTCCGAGGCTCTCCTGCTCACGGGCACACCCCTCACACCTGCCCTCCCTGAATCAGCCCAGATGCCGCCGGGGTCCCCAGGGGCCACCCAGCTGGGCCCTGTTTTGCTCGCCAGTAACACAGTGCGGAGAACAGAGGGGCTGCGGCCTGCAGGGGACCTGGGCTGTTCAGATCCGTGCCGGGGTCAGTGCAGGCACAGGTGTGGCTGCACGGCACGGTGGCCTGGCAGGCTAGGGGATGGTACTCTGGAGGCCCCCAGCCTGCAGTCACTAGCTTGTCCTCGGTCCTCCCCACCCGAGGGCTCCCGAAGGCAGGGGTGTAGCTGGGTCAGAGAGGCCAGGAGGAGGAAGCAGAAAGGAATGGGGCTCCCCTCGGGTGGGTCAGATTAGCACACGGCGTGACGTGACGGGGCGCGCGTGCTTTCCGGACTGGATGCCGGGCAGGTGATTGTCGCGGCCGGCGGGCGGCCCTCCACCCAGCACGTGGCCGGCGGGACACACCAGCCTTCCTCGTGCCTGCGCTCCACCCTTCTGCCCCTTCCACCTTCTCGGGGTCCTAAGTCCCTGACCACGCCCTGGCACCCTTCGACCTCCCGTGCCCATCCCTCTGAGCTGGCTGGTCCTGGGCACAGCAGGGAGGTGACCCAGGCACTCACGGCTCCCCTGGGGGGCAGCAGAGACCCTGCTTCTGGGCACGCGCAAGACAGACGAACGGGGGACCCCTCCCACGTCCTCCCTCCCACGAGGGCATTGTGAGATCTCGAACTGTAAGGAAAAAGGGTTTCCCTTCCAGAATTGGATGGGGGTGCTGATCAGAATCCAGAGTCAAAGAACTGGAGTGAGGACGGGGACGCTGCGGGGGTCCCGAGCCTCTCCACCCGGTGGGGGACCCGGGGGCGGGAGCCAGGCCCCGAGCGGACCGAGGGGTGGCGAGAGACTGGCCCCGCCCCACGGACCCCGAGCGGGTCCCCAGACGGGGGGGTGGCGCTGCGGGCGCGGGCGGGCGCCGCGCGCACTGCGGTCCCCGCGCCTCCGCCGCAGAGCGCGCCACGCTCGCACGCACCTGCCGCTGGCTCGCCGAGCCCCGTGCCCGCGCCCCCGGGTGCCGCCCGCTCCCGCCATCGCTGGGGTCGCCGCGGGAGCTTCCAAGCTGCAGGCCAAGGGCAGGCGCTGCGTCCAGGCCTGCCTTTGAAACAACCTCTGCGGCGGGCGGCGGCGCGCAGCCAGGGACGCCAGGCTGGGGCAGGTGAGTGGGGGAGGGGCGCGGCCGGGCGGGGCAACCTGCTTGCCCGGGCAGGGTCGCAGGCCAGCGCTGGGAGGGCCAGGGCGGGCCCGCGAGATCCGTACCCGCGGCGGAGGTCAGGGTCAGAGGTCGGACGCCTGGGCCTTTGTGCGGGGCGGGGGCGAGGGCTCGGGCGCTGCGCTCACACTGCCTCTCGCCCGCAGCTCGGGCCTGGTGCAGGCCTCGCCTCTGCTTGCGCCGAGGAGCCTGCAGCCCGGGGACTCCTGCAGCCGGAGCTCAGGCTAGCTGCCTTCCCTGGGTGCCCTGTCCTGGAGCCATGGGGCCCACCTAGCCCCTGCCTGCCCCGATGTCCCGGCCCGGGGACTGGTGACCCGGGCTGCAGGGGGAGCCCCCCCAGCGCCCCCTGGCCAACCTCGGCAGCCAGAGACCCTGGGTGAGCGCCTGGGCCAGACCCCAAGGCCAGGGCGGCCTCCCACACCCCTCTGCCCCCGCCTGCCGCCCCCGCCCCCGCCCCCGCCTCCGCCTCCCCCCAGGACTGGACCGGAGAGGCCGCTGTGGCCGCTGGGGGGCACTCCGCCCCCCCAGGTCTCGCCGGCCGCCCCCAGGAGTCCGCGGGGCGGCCGGGGGCCCCATCAGCCCTTGCAGGACCAAGATGCTCTCCCCCGTCTGCCCCCTCGCCCCCACCCGGCTGCCCCGCCCACCGGAACCTCTGGTGTGACTGGAGGCAGCCGGATGCCAGCTGACCCTGGGCCCGAGGTGGGCAGCGGCTGGCCGGGCCTCCTCATGTCCTGCCTGAAGGGCCCACATGTCATCCTCAAGATGGAGGCCATGAAGATCGTGCACCCCGAAAAGTTCCCCGAGCTTCCGGCGGCCAACCCTTGCTTCCCACCTGCACCTCGGCCCACCCCCACGCTGGCACCAAAGCGTGCCTGGCCCTCTGACACAGAGATCATTGTCAACCAGGCCTGTGGTGGGGAGATGCCTGCCTTGGAAGGGGCGCCCCACACCCCACCCTTGCCACGGCGACCCCGCAAAGGCAGCTCGGAACTGGGCTTCCCCAGAGTGGCACCTGCCGACGAGGTGATTGTGAACCAGTATGTGATCCGGCCCAGCCCGGCAGCCTCAGTCAACTCATCATCGTCGTCGTCAGGGGCAGCAGCAGCCGGGGAGCCCCTGGAGTGCCCCACCTGTGGGCACACCTACAACGTCACACAGCGGCGGCCCCGGGTGCTGTCCTGCCTGCACTCGGTGTGTGAGCAGTGTCTGCAGATCCTGTATGAGTCCTGCCCCAAGTACAAGTTCATCTCCTGCCCCACCTGCCGCCGTGAGACTGTGCTCTTCACCGACTACGGCCTGGCCGCGCTGGCCGTCAACACGTCCATCTTGAGCCGCCTGCCGCCCGAAGCACTGACCGCCCCATCTGGTGGCCAATGGGGAGGTGAGCCTGAGGGCAGCTGCTACCAGACCTTCAGGCAGTACTGTGGGGCCGCATGCACCTGCCACGTGCGGAACCCGCTGTCTGCCTGCTCCATCATGTAGCACCCACCTACCCACTGCTGGCCTCCGGTCCTCACCTGCTGCTTCTTCAGGGACCCGGCCCTGCCCTGTCACCCACTGACCCTTCCTCACCCACCATGGCTTGTGGCCCTATCCTGTGTGGCACTGTCGCTGCAGCCAACTCTGCCATTAAAACTCTGCCAAAGTTTGCACCTGTCCCCTGGACTGAGGCTTACTCCCGGGGGCCCAGGGTAGGTACCTGTGGCTGCAGCCTGGAGCACATCCACGTGGAGCTGCCAGAGAGAGGCTCTTCCCTGCTGATTAGAGGCTAGGGCGTGCTGCTCAGGAGGGCCGACGCTGAGTGCATGTGCTGCCCGTGTGCCCAACATGTAGAGCTGGCCTAGCTGTGTGGACAGACCATGCTCTGCACTGGCCATGGTGGAGGGGAAGACTCAGGAGTTTTTTCTCCTTGTGCCCTTGGCCCTTCGTGGGTCTCCCAAGGCTGGGGAATAGCCTGTGGCCATTCTGAGCTGGGTCACAGTGAGGGGCACTAGGACCAGAGGCCTCCTGTCTGGCACCTGGGCCAGCAGGGTTTGGGGAAAGTCCCTTTGCACTGGGGTGTGGGGGTCTGCCTTGATGACAGAGAGTAGGTAATGGAGGACAGCCAGGCTGTGACGATGGTGCCAGGAGCTCCTGTTTATTGAGAGCCACTTCCTGTGCCAGGCACATGCTCAGCACTCCACCTCAGTCACATCACCACTTGCCCATAGCTGTGGCATCCTGCAGGTGAGGGCTTCAAGCTGTGTTGGGAGCCAGCACCATTAACCTCCTGGCTGCCCTGGGCCATCCTCTGGTCCTGGCCAGAGTGGGTATGGAGTCTTGTGGGCCAGCCATGTGCTGTGCACGCCCTTCCCCTGGCCGCTGTGACCTTCACGGACACACTGGCCCTGATCTAGATCACAGGAGGTCAGCCCCTGTGCCCTGACCCATCCTTCCCCTGGCAACAGACTCGCTTCTAGGTGTCTGGCCATTTGTACTGCCCTCCTCCTCAGATGGGCCTCAGGAGGGGGTGGTATGACCCAGGGTCCGCCATGGCCAGTGCAGGGCCTGGCTCTCGGTCCTTCCTGCTGCCCTTGCCTTGCCCGCTCTAGCAGCTGTCCTTGCATGGTGTCCTTGGGGCCAGCTTGTGTCCGGGTCGCAGGGTGGAGTGGGCTCTGGCCAGTCCAGGGATCCGGTATCTGGGGCTCAGGGACACCAGGGCTGTCTGAGCTGGAGCTTTCCAGCCTGGTCATCCAGCTGGGCTCAGCGGCTGGCACGATCCAGGAGCATGAAGAGCAGGCCCAGCAGCATGAGCGGTGTGAAGATGAGCAGCAGCCCCAGCAGCTCAAGCACCAGCAGGCTCAGCAGCACCAGGCGGCGGGCGCAGGGCCCACGCTCCCGCAGCGCCCACAGCCAGGTGCCCAGACGGGGCGGGCACGGTAGGAAGGGCAGGCAGCCCTGGCTGCCCACAGGCCCTGCTAGGAAGCGTGGCTGGTAGCGGTGCTCAAGGGAGCCCCAGGGCCCAGGCCTACGGCCAGGGGGTGTGGGGGGTCCAGGGGGTGGCGGGCACTGGGGCCCATCGGCCTGAAGCAGCTCCTCCTGCAGTCTGCAGATCTCCCACTCCAGCATGGGTGTCTTCTGGCGGCACAAAGGACAGCGTACGCGGCCCAGGTCTGCACCGGGGGTTGTGCTCAGCAGCTGGCACAGGCAGCCTGTACACAGGCCATGGCCACAGTTCAGCAGGGTCAGACGGCGCTCGCCTGGCCCATAGGGCTCCGCGCAGATGGGACATTCTTCCTCCTGCCTGTGGCCCCCCACCGGCTCCCCCACCTCTGGCAGAGCCCAGGCGCTGGTTAAGGCTGTGGCCCCAAGCAAGGGCTCACTGTCCGGAGTCCTGGCACACTGGAGGGTCCCGAGGCCTCCACCATCTGCTGGAGGCTGGCACAGCGAGTCCAGACACTCAGGACCCAGAGAGGCCCACAGAGGGCCGGAAGGCCTAGAGCTGAGGTCCGAGGGGCCCAGCACAGGGTCCCCAGGGCTGGAGGCAGGATGGCTGGGTGAGGGCTCCAGCCTGTGGGGGTGGTGGGGAGGTGAGCGCGACCCTCAGCAGCTGGGCAGGGTTTGGCCACCCAGCGCCCCCAAGTACTGACCTCCAGCCACACTTCTGGGCGCCTTGGCCCACGGGAACTTCCCTAGAGCCGCTGGCGTGCCCAGGCAGGGCCGCGTCTGGTCAGATCCTGTCAGCACTCAGCCTCAGCCAAGTCCACTCCCCGAGTCAAAACGATTGACCCGGCTAGATAAAGCTTCTTCCGCTCCTGGCCAGGACTGGCTTGCTGGCCCAGCTGCTCCGTCAGGATTACCCTCCCCAGAGCTGGAGCCCGAGCAGAAGCAGCCTGGGGGCGGGGACACCACGCCCCCTGCCCGCCCCTTCCTGGGTGGGCCTGGGCCGGCCGAGCCTTCCCAGCTGCGGGCTGCCCGCACATCGCACACTCCACCCTTGGAGGTGGGCAGGCTCCGCTGGCTGTCTCCAGGACCCTGAATTCACGCTGTATCGGACACCCAAGTCCAGGGAGGTGGGCAAGGGAGCTGTGCAATGACACTTGTGCAGGTGCCCACACCACTGGAGGGGTCACGTGGACACGCAGGGCCCGCCCCACCTGTAGCACGGAGCAGAAAGTCAACAGCTGCCCAGAGGGCACATTTACTGCCAAGGCTTCTGGGACCAAGAGAAAAAGGGACTGGCCTGGGCTCTTCACGCTGCTTAGGCCGTGGGGTTCTGGCAGCCTCTGGCCGAAGCCTGAGCCCTGTGGGTGCACAGGGGAACTGGGAGCAGCATGAGCCCCAGGCTGCCATGGAGTGGCTGGGAGTACCCAGGCAGATGGCAGTGCCCCGTGCCCAAGTGGGGGACACAGGCAGGGCATGGACAGAGCGGGGTGGGAGTCAGGCTGCAGTCGGGGCTGACAGCGTCGGACCCTGGTCCTTCGGAGTGTGATAAGGACCAGGGCAGGAGGTGCTGCTGGCTCCTCTATGAGAAGCTTCCCCACGGGCCCCGAACAGCAGTCAGGGTGGCTGTGGGCTGGAAGGCGCCCCTTCAGGCCCAGGTCTCCATCTGGAAGCGCAGCACCCGCTGGAGGCTGGCAAGGTAGGTCGTGGCATCAGAGCTGGAGAGCCCACCATGCTCCTGGAAGATGCAGGTCAGGGCCTCCATGACATCTGCTGGCATGTGCTTGGCATTGCTAGACGGGCAACCACAGTCAGTGTAGCTGGGCCCCCACAGGGCTGAGCCCCCCGCACCACCCAGCCTGAGCCAGGGCTCACCCTGCCAGGTAGAAGTAAGCGCCACGGCACTCCAGCAGCTCCCAGAGGAGGGGCCCCAGCTCCCGGAGCCGGTGCTGCACGTATACCTTCTGTTCCTGCAAGGTGGTGGGGTTGAGTCTGTGGCTCTGGTGCCCGCCTCCCCGCTCCAGAGCACACCCACCTGCTCCCGGGAGAAGGCTGTGACGAGCGTCAGGTAGCCTCTCTTCTCCAGTTCCCGCCATTCAGCCTCCCAGTAGAAGTCCTGGTCCCGCCAGCGGCAGCCAAAAAACAGGACGTTTCCTGGGGAATGCAAGGTGGCCTCAAGCTGGACACAGATCCGTGGGGTCCAGTGGCGCCAGCCCTAGCCACGACGTGGCCTGGGGTCCCTGCACTCACCAGTCTGGCCCTGGGCCACGCGCTCCTGGACAGCTGCTCGGAAGGGGGCCACACCGGTGCCAGGCCCCACCATGACCACAGGTGTGTCTGGGGACTCCGGGAAGGCCAGACTGCCTGGCCGTACCCACAGGGGCACCCGGATGGGTCCTGCCACAGGAGGGAGGTGGCGTGAGGGGCTCAATGGGCCAGGACAAGGCCACTGGCTGTGAGCATGGGGCAGAACGGGAGGGCTGGGCTGCAGTCCCCACCTCACCCTCCTGGAAGCAGGAGTCACCTTGCCCAGGGTCCAGGGAGGCCAGCCAGGAGGAGCAGAGGCCGCGGCGGGGCTCCTTGAGGCGGGTCTGGTACTGCACCACAGCCACAAGGATCTGCAGCCTGTCGGGATGAGCCTGCGGGGACAGTGGGTGCCACAGCTGCTAGGCCTCCCCTGCTCAGAGGCAGCCCTGCCTGCAAAGCCCCGGCCCTGGCCCTCACCAGCAGCGACGAGGCAATGGAGAAGGCTCTTGGCCGGATCCGTGGGATGAGGTCCAGCAGGTAGTCTGGGGGAATGGCGCCGCTGGAGTGCGGAAAGTCACACAGCACCTGGGCAGGGGCCCCTCTGCGTGGGTTCGTGGCCCGTGACTCAGCACCTGCCACCCGCCCCCTCTGGCCTCCGGGTTGGCCCTAACCTCCAGGATGGTCCTTCGGGGTCGGCTACAATATTCACACAGCGCCTCCTGACCTGTGGCCAAGCTGAGCTCCAGCAGCTTCTCCCGCTCCAGCTCATGCGGGGACAGAGAGGCCAGGAGCTCGAAGAAAGAGCGGCGAGGCACGCTGGCAATGTCCAGGTACCGAGTCACAAGGCGCCCCACGGAACAGGGCTGGGGCAGCCCCGGTGGGCAGGACACACCTGCAGCAGGAGTGGGGGTGTCACGGGCTGAGGCCTCGGTGGGCAGCAGGTGGGCGGCTGGCCACCCGCTCACCTGGCTCCCGTGGGTGCAGTGTGAACCACTGGTTGGGGTCCAGGCCCAGCACCTGGCAGAACTGCTGGACGTGGGCGGCTGAGTTGGACGGCTGAATCAGGACCACGTCGCCGGCAATGAAACTGTGGGACAACGCGGGAGGGATGGCAGGGTGGGGGCAGGGGATGTGGGGGGGGGGGCTCCAGGCCGGTGGCGGGGTCTGTGGACAAGGCCTCCCACTGCCGAGCTGCTCTCATCCCTGGTGCTGCAGACCCCTCTGAGCCCCAGGTTCACTGTCCACCCTGGCTGCTTGGGGTCTTGGGCCGGCTCCCACCTGATGCCTGAGCCAGTGATGTCGAACTCGATCAGTCGAACGTCCTGGAAGTGTGAGGGGCCCGTGACCCTCTGGTTGGTGACCATGGGCGCCAGGAAGGGCTGTGACTCTGATGGGGGCTGATGAGGATCCACGCTGGGTGCAAACGGCTCCGGGGGGACCTCGCTGGGTATTTCCTGGAAGAGCTGGAGGGCGAACGTGGAGGGCAAGCTGGCGGGGTGGGGGACACGACACAGGCATCAGGCCCGGGGGCACTGGCACCGGCCTGTGGGCTCCCTCCTGAGCCACCCGCCCACTTGCAGGAACCAGGGCAAGGTCCCTGGCCAGGGTATGTCTGCAGCCCTTCCAGGGCTGACCCAAGACCCTCACTCACGGGACTCCAGGGGGGATCCTGGTGAGGTCCCGGGGCACCGGGTACAGCCTCAGCACCTTCTCCCACAGGGCCCCCAGCCAAGGGTCGATGGCGGCATCCGGCCTGGGAGAGAGCACAGCTGTTGGCCGAGGCCAGGTGGCTCATCTGTCCACCACAGCCAAGACGGAGGCCCGGGGCCAGTACTCACCCCAGCTCATGCTGGTCATCACCCAGGCAGGCAGGCAGGAGGGCACTGCCCCCAAGCTGCAGCAGCCGGCGGTGCAGCTTCTTGGCCACAAAGTTGAATCTGCAGACGGAGAAGCTGGGCAGGGCTGGGCTGGGCTGGGCTGGGCTGGGCTGGGCTGGGCTGGGCTGGGCTGGGACTGCAGCCCAGGCACACCAGGGCCCAGATCAGCAGGAAGCAGCTGGTAAGGGGACAGTGCTGACCCTGGCCAGGGCTTGGTCAGCCCTCAGCTCAAGGCTTCGAGTTAGGAGGGTGTCAGTTTCACTTCTGTTTATAAAGCAAAAGCGGCCCTCGGACCTCTTACCACCTGGGGCTGCTCTGGTGTGCACAGCACAGGTACAAAAGCTGCTAGGAGAGCACAATGCGAGGCTGCTCCTTTTCGTTTTCTGTGCTCTTTATCTCGTGCAGAGTATCCTGTCACGCGCGCGGCGCTGGACAACCCTGGGGCCCTTGGACAGACTGACTCAAAGCTGGGCCTAAGATGTTCTATACCCTGAACACAAATCCCTTGTCTACTAGGCAATGATACGAAGTGACACTACTCAGAGATGTGGCTGTGTGTTGTGAAAACGCTGAAACAGCAAACCCAGTGGCCGCTCCTGGCCAGATGAGGCATGACCTTGGAGGTGGATAGGAGCAAGCTGTCCACCTCAGCCCTCTGCCCACAGCATAAACACCTCACGGTGTCTGCTTTATCCCTGGCAGGGAGCAGCACTGGGCTGGTCTTTGTCGACTTCAGGCACAGGCTAGGGTGTGACCCTGGCTGGTGTGAGCCCAGCTGTGCTGCCTGGATGCCCGGCCCCTCTCGAAGCCTGGAGGGGCACAGACCTTGAGAACCATCCCTGTTGTGGCCAGTGTGCTGGGCCCCACACCCACCACCCCTACTCACTTGGCATAGGAGGAGTCCCCGAGGCCCAGGACGGCAAAGTCCAGCTGACAGAGGGAGGTGGCCGGCAGGTTCTTCCGGAATATGAACCTCCAGAAGTTCTGGGCCAGAGGAAACCCATGTTAGGGCCCCTGGCTCCAGGCCAGCCCGTCTGTGTGGGGATGTAGGGGAGTCTCAGGACGGGGCGGAACGAGATGGAACCACCTGGCCAAAGGGCTGGAAGGCACCTGGCAGGAGCAGGCTGGCCAGGGCCACGTGCCAGGGAGGCAGGAGCTGAGCACCAGGCCTGCACTTGGCGGTGAGGCCTCCTTCCCAGGGCATGACACACACTTGCTCCTTAAGAGCCTGGGTTGCCAAACAACAACAAAACTGGTTTTTATTCTGTTATAGCACCAAAAAACTTGGGAAAATGCATAAAATTATAAAGGAGAAAAAAAGCCAGTACTCCAAAGAGGCTGGGAAGCCAATGCACCTGGCTGTCTGCACACCTGCTACTCAGCCCTCTGCTTCCAGCCAGCCCCAAGGCCGGCATCTCCCCAACCTGGTCAGGGCTTGGCCTGGGTCCCAGGTGCAGCTCTGGCTGGGTCCCCATGGGGTTCTGAGCTGCCACCACCAGAACCCTCTGCCTCGCCTGCCTCCCTCCTTCCTCTGCTCCCTTTTCCCCAGGGACCCTCGCCCCCACCCGCCTGCTGTTCCAGGTCCCAATGCTCAAGCCTCAGAGCACCTGGGACACATCCCACGCCACCCCTGGAGCCAGAGGACCCCAGCTGGGAGCACCCCCACTCCACGCCTTCCTTGGCAGCACTGAGGCCCACCCACGAGGAAAGGCATCGAGTTGCCGCCCAACTGCAGCCTGGCTTTGCTTCACCACCTCCCTTTCTGTGGACAAGGACAGAGGCAGCAGCAGAGCCCTCAGACCCCACATGATGGGCCAAGCGACGTTGGCACTGTCAGTGCCCAGCTCTGCCCACTGGCCCTGGGTGGCCCACACCATCTTGGCACCTTGCCGGCAGCTGTCAAACAAATGTCTCTGCCTCCTGGGGCCTGATTTCCTGAAGCCCTAGGGCTCAGGGAGAGGCCTGTGGGTGACACTGTCAGGGAGGACTGTGCCCCTCGGGTCCAGGGCTGCTTTAGCTTGGTGCCTGCTGCTAAGAAGTCAGCGCCGTCTGTGTGCTGCCTGGTGTCCCCCAGCAGCCGCCCAACAACCAGACACACAGCGTGGCTCGGCCGGCGGCCCCTTCCCTCTCAGCACACTCCTCTCAGGCATGCGGCCACTCCCGGGCTGGAGCCTCGGCCTTCAGCTCTGGGTCGTTTTGCCACTTTTCTTGATAATTTTCTCCCTATCTTTTACATTTTGAGGGTCCGGGCATGCAGTTTTTGTTTTGGCAGTACTGGAGACTGAACACAGGGCCTCTGCACCGAGCTAAACCTCCAGACATTTAAGAAACAATTTAAAACAATTTTTGAGACAGAGTATTGCTAAGTCACTTAGGTGACGCTGAAACTTGCAACGCTCCTGCCTCGGCCCCCCAGATGCTGGGATTCCAAGTGTGTACCATCATGCTTAGCTGATCTTTGAGCTCTGAGCTCTTTTCTTCCATTTTCCACCTTGCTCTCTGTCACATCCCTTAGGGAGAATTTCTCTGCTGCACCCTCTCATCCGTTAAAAACCCTCTTCTGTGTTGCCAGCCGTCCTGCTCTGTGGGGCTGGCCTTTTCCCGTGGGTGCTGTGTCCGACCTACTCCTGTTGGTTTCTCTGCCTGTGCCTCTCACTGAAGCTTCTGCTCTGTGTGGCAGTTGCCCACGATCCACCTGTACTCAAGAGGGTGATGGAAGTGTTGGACACATGCCTGGTGCCCAGTGGGCTGAACTACCAGCAGGGCAGGGACCATTGGGCCATTCACCGTGATCTCGCTGCTTCTCAAAGAAGAACACAGCAAAGAGGCCAAGGCTTCCTGCCCAACAGCCAGATGGCCACTGGGGAGCTGCACCTCAGCCTCTGTGGTCCAGGGCCTGCAGCTGCCAAAGGAGCCCAGTTCCTGCTGTGGTCAGGGAGGGTGGTTTCTCCTGAGGGCTGCCCGTTCCCTCCATTCTTCCCTTCAGTGTCCACTTGAGTCTCGCCATACTTCAGTGTGATCCTCACCCCTTGGTGTCACTGGCTGCCCTGACAGCCCAGCGCACTTCAGACCTGAAAAGAGTCTCATTACCTCTCTTTTCCTAAGCCAGCACCTTTCCATGCCATCACTCACTTCTTGCTTCCATCCTATCACCCACTCTGTCCCTCTCCATCTGAGGAGAGCCCCGGCTGTGCTCAGGCCTTACCAGGGCTCCACCCGGCACCCCCTCCTGGTTCTTCAAGTTTCAGCCTCTTTCTCCCTTTCCTTCCTCCACCAACACTGAACATGCCGAGTGAGTCTCTCCCATCCTATAAACGCCTTCTTTTGAACTCCTTAGCTCTTTCACAGCCAGAATGTTTAAATATCCAGACATTCTCAGAAGACCTCTCCACTAACTCTGATCCCCAGTAACTTGGCTTCTCTGCCCATAAGCCAAGAAACTACTCTAAATCAACAATCACAGAGCCAGGATTTAGCTCAGTGGTTCGGCCACCTGCTTCAAAAGCACAAGGTCCCAAGTTCGATCCCTGGTACCAACAAAAACAAAAACAATCCCAGGGATGCCTCCCAGGCCTCGTCTTATTTAACTTCCATGCAGCATTTTTTTTTGTTACCAGGGATTGAACTCAGGTCCTTGGGCTTGTGAGGCAGGCAGCAGAACCACTGAGCTAAATCCCCAGTCCCTTTGACCTTGGCCTTGAGAAAGGTACATGCCCTCCCCTCTGCTGGCCACAGCCCTGCCCTCTGCTGTGATGCAGGCAGTGGTCTTGGGGGAGGGGTTTTTGTCACACCTCTGGATTTTGGTCCCAGGAACCCCCCTAGAGTTCCAGACCTATTCACATCTCCCGGCACCTGGAAGCACCACATCCTCTCTCCATGGCTAGCACCCATTCTGGTTTCAGAATCCCAATCCCTGTTTTGATTTTACCTTTTCTCATCTTCCAGACCCCTTCAATTACAAGTCCTGCACACTCTACCTCCTTAAACCTTTCCAGAATGCATCCACTTTGCACTTTTTGCCACTGCTCTGGCTCAGACCACTAGCACCTCTTGCCTGGGCTTTGAAATCTCTGGCATCATCTCACACTCTGCAGAGAGGAGGCGGTGTTGCTAGAATGTGAGCATTACTCTGCTGGCCCAGGCCTCACAGCCCTTCCCTTCCAGCCTACCTGCCTTACTGTGGCTATTTAGACTCTGCATCTGGCCTGGCTTCCTGCCTATCTCCCCTTCCCCTCCTGCCTGGATGCACTCCTTAGCTTGGCCATCCTTAACTGCTTTTCGTCCTTCACATAGGCCAGGCCATCTTTCTCCTCTGCACGGGATGCTCCATCTTCCCTGTCCAGCTCCCATTCATCCTTGGGACTCAGCCTATGCTCCTTCCAGAAAGCTCTACATGAGGCCCCAGGCTCACACAACATTCGGCATGTTCCCCAGCAGCAGGCATTTTCTGGTATTGTAACTGCCATGAAACCTGCTGTTTCTACTGTGAGCTTGTGAGAGCTAGAAATGTGGCCACTAGGTTCACAGCTGGATCCCCAGCACTAGATGGTGCCAGAAATACAAGTTCATCCAAGATGATCAAACAATTAAAGAATGTTCCTTGAAGGCTACACAGCCTGGAGATACACACAAGACCCAGGCCAGAGTCCTACATATGTCTGGAAAAACACAAAAGTGTTAAAATGGAGAACGAGGCTATCAAGTGGCTATCAAATTAAAAATTTATTGGCCAGGCTGAAGATTTAGCTCAGTGGTGCCGCCGCCTGCCTCACAAGCGCAAGGTCCTGAGTTTGATCCCCGAGAATTTATTGGCAAGGAGCTCCACTCAGAGGTATCCTCTCGGAACCACCTCTAAAGTGTCACCAAGGGCAACGACTTAAAGTGCTTCTTGGACTTTCTAAGCCGTGAAAATGGGGTTAGGGTGGGGGGAGCCACACCAACCCAGTCTTACCTTCATGTTGTCCGGGGCGTCTCCTTGGCCTGTAGTCGCACAAACAAATATCACCAGGGGCTCCCTAATCAGATTCGCCTCAACGAAAAGACACAAGTGTAAGAGCTCTGGCTGTCACGAACAGGCCCGAGATGGCCCCCTTCACTCAGAGTGACTGGCCAAAGGGGCCGGTCGGCTGCGCCCTGCAGCCAAGCCTCCTCTTCCCCTGCTTCGGCTCCGACCAGCCCGACGCCTTCCGGCCTAGGGTCTCCCGCCCGGGCTCCGAGCCTCACCACGGGGTACGAGTCCAGCTCCTGCACGCGGCAACGCACCCGCCGGCGCCGAGCCTCGCGGCCCAGCCTCTCCGCCACATCTTGGGCAGTGCCTGTCTGGCTGCCGAAGAGCACCAGGAGCTGAAGGTTTGGCATCACGACGGGCCAGGAACCAAGGTCCCGGACCCGCGCCGCTTCCGCCTTCCGGTGTCGACCGGAAGTGACGTGTTCGACCCGCGCCGGCGGGGCATGGCGTCCGGTTGCTGCAGGGTTCCACGGCAGCCAGTACTGGGTCCCGGGCCGGGGCTGGGGAAATCGGCGTTGTTCCGGGCCCGGGTGCCGGGGCCCAGGGCGGGCGAGGCCGCTCGCTCACAGCGGTGGCGTGCGCTGGTCAGGCCTGCGGGCAGAGGCAGGGCTGCCCCGCTGGGAACGCGCTCGGCCGGGGCCTGGCCCGCGCCCCAACGGCGAGATGCTCTTCTCTCTGCGGGAGCTGGTGCAGTGGCTGGGCTTCGCCACCTTTGAAATCTTCGTGCACCTGCTGGCCCTTCTGGTGTTCTCCGTGCTGCTGGCACTGCGCGTAGACGGCCTGGCCCCAGGCCTTTCCTGGTGGAACGTGTTCGTGCCCTTTTTCGCCGCCGACGGGCTCAGCACCTACTTCACCACCATCGTGTCTGTGCGCCTCTTCCAAGATGGGGAGAAGCGGCTGGCTGTGCTGCGCCTCTTCTGGGTTCTCACGGTTCTTAGCCTCAAGTTCGTCTTTGAGATGCTGCTGTGCCAGAAGCTGGTGGAGCAGGCTCGAGAGCTCTGGTTCGGCCTGATCACGTCTCCGGTCTTCATTCTCCTGCAGCTCCTCATGATCCGTGCCTGTCGCGTCAACTAGCCTCAGTCAGGAACCAGAGAGAGGACAGCACAGCTGGAGTGCCGGTCCTGGACCTGAGGCCCTACTTGAGCCACACCGGAGTTCTTGGACTGAAGGCAGCGCCTGCTGGTGCCCAGCTGAGTACCCAGTTTTTTCTCTGCCAGTCATGCCTGAGGTTTTTCCTCATCGGGGCTAAAGAGAACAGCCTCGATTCCTGAGATGTATTTCCTGTTATCCATGCTTTGAGTTGCTAATCCTGAACTGAGATCCTGAGAAGGCCCCCAGGCCAGTTGGAAACTGCATATAAATTGAGGGTCCTGCTGGGCTTTGAGCATTTTCCGTGCCTCCTGGGGATGTACTCCTTTCCAAAAGTAGCAAAGCTGGACTTGGGGATTTTGTCCAGCCAGCAGCAGCGACCTAAGAGCTCATTGCTCTTTCCATCCAGAGCATGCATCCTTAGACTGTTGAGCTCTGAAAGTGTAAGAAACTTTGTATCTCCTTCCCTGTGTCAGGGGAGAGAATAGCCCTTTTTTCATTCCTGCCAGGCAGGGAAGAAAACTGTTAAGAGCGTGACTGGGACCCTGTCTGGATATCTGCTACCTGAGTAAAGAACTCAAGGCACTGCTTGGTGTTCTGTTGTAGCAGGTTGCAGTTTCATGGACTTTTCCACCACCTGGTGGCCTGCACCATTAGCGCATCTGGGACAGATTTAGGCCTCCGGAGGGAACCAAAGATAGGAACAGGTGCTGCGATCATGGTGGACAAGGAGACCTGCAGATGGGAGCTTGTGAGCAGCCCAGGTTTGTTGGCCTGAGGTCCTTGGTTTGATGTGTCAGGTGCCAAGTGAGAACATTTGCTAACATGAAAATAAAATAAGAGAATGTTTTCCTGAAATGAAAAGTGTTGTCTGTGTCTTTTAAGACTTGAATGAGACAAATGTTGAGATGTTCCCTCCTGTGTGGAGTAACTGGTTAGAGAGCTGATGTAGGTAGACCAGAAAGTGTTACTAGAGCACAGTGAATGATGGAGGGCTACTTTTGGAGAATCCCTGTTTCCTGCTTTAGGAGGTGGGTATCTCGGCCCCCCAGGTTGAGGACAGTCTAGGCCAGAATTGAGGACTTGTGGAGTGGCACCTATGACACCAGAGCTTTTGGCTTCTTGCCAGGTTGTGGTCATCAGTGGGTTTCACTGGTGTCCTGTAGAGCAGGGAAACAATGGCCTAAAGCCAATTTTTGTATGGGTCTTGAGCTGATGGTAGTTTTTACATTTTTTACCCCCAATACTGGGGATTGAACCCAGGGATACTCTACTAGTAAGCTACATCCCCATCCCTTTTTATTTTTTTCTTTTGAGATGAAATCTTGCTAACTTACTCAGACTGGCCTCAAACTTGCAATCTTCCTGCCTCAGCCTCTTGAGTAGCTGGGATTACAGGCATGTGCCATGGCACTCAGCTAAGTTTTTACATTCTTATAAGGCTAAAGACAAAGGCTGTTGCTGGATACAGTGACACACCCGCAATCCCAGCTACTGGAGAAGCTGAAGGAGGACTGTAAATTTGAGCCTAACCTGGGCAACTTAGCAAGATCCTGTCTCAAAAGAAATTAAAAGACTTGGGTACATAGTTCAGTGTAAAGGCCCTGGGTTCAATCCTTAGTACAATCAATCAGTAAGTAAGCAAACCCACAAAGGCTATGCCAGAGTGTCTTCCCAAGTGGCTATAAAAAAACAAAACAAAAACAAGGGCCGGGGATTTAGCTCAGCAGGGCTGCCACCTGCCTCGAAAGTGCAAGGACCCGAGTTCAATCTGTGGTACCGAAAAACAAACAAAAAACCCCAACAAAAACAAGGGCCAGGGATTTAGCTCAGTTATTCTGGTGTCTGCGGTCCAAGCACCAGGTCCTGAGTTCAATCCCTGGTACCCCATACACACACAATATATATATATATATATAAAACTGAGAGCACATGTGCCCTGCAGACTTCAAGGTTTCTCAGTCTCAGCAGAATCATCCTTTATTGTGGGTGAAGGAGACTGTCCTGAAGAGGTAAGTGTTTTGCAGTCCTGGATACCTTCCACTTGTGACAACCAAGTTTATTTCAACATTGCCAAGTCCCCTAGGGGACAAAATTGTCCGTTAAGAAACACTGGGCTCAAACATTTACTGTCTACCCCTCTATAGAACAAGTATACTGCCCTCTCCTCTAGCAGCCTAGCCAACGATGTGGTTTTCCTTATAATGTTATGCTTAGATTTTGTTTTGCTGCCTGGGCATGGTGGCTCATGCCTGTAATCCCAGTACTCGAGAGGCTGGGGCAGGAGGATTGCTGTTAGTTCAAGGCCAGCCTAGGCTTAGATAGTTCAAGGACAGTCTAAACTACATACGGAGGTGCTTGCTTCGGCAGCACATATACTAAACTACATACTGAGACCCTGTCTCATCGCCCACCCAATATTTTGTTTTGTCTTGGTAATCTGGAATTCGGCACTCTGGTTGGTGTAAAACTGATGACTATTCAAAGTCTCCTTTGGAGTTACTAGAGAAGGGTTTCTGGAGGATGGATCCAGTTCATCTCCAGCTTAATGAATCAGCAGGGGGAAGGCAGAACTAAGGTAGGAGCAGGTACACACTGCTCTGGGACCCAGAGGCCAAGAAGGGCTCCCCAGGCCAAAACCTGCAGTGTCTTTCCAGAGACCCAGGTGCCCTTAAACTGAGCCCCTGGAAGACACGTGGTATGAGAACAGTTTGGGTACCAAGCAAGCTGCAGGCCAAGTGAAGAAAGGGTGACACCCGTGTCTGTGCCCCCAGTTTCCTGCTCTCATGGATCTAAGCAATCTCTTTACTCTCCCTGGGCTGGAAAAAACCATGGGCACTGCAGCCCTCAGAGGAAGAAACCCTGGGCTTTCTTAAAACCTGCTGGCCAGGACGCTGTGCTTTCAGGGTCAGCGGCATTCCCTGCCCAGTCTTAGGATGGATGGTATTCAAGAAGAGTCCCAGTGGCCTGACAACAGGGTAGACAGAAAGACTGGCCGTTGCCTAGCTCCCGGGGACCCACGCTTCTCCTTGTCCGAGTGCAGTAAAAGGCCCTGCCTCCCTGTCTCCCTGAAGATTGGTGCTGTAAGGACAGATGTTGGGGCTGGGGGTCGCCGACAGCTGGGTGTGCGTCAGAGACTCATCCACACGTCTAGGAGCTGACCAAAACCCTGTTTCAGAACAATTACTCAGGTCCAGTCTCAGAAGTGGCTTTTATACTTCCTGCAGGGGCCCACGTTTCCCAGCCACTCAGGTGAGAGCCCGGTGTGGCCTGCGCCAAGGCCACAGGAGCAAGGATAGCTCCCGCGCTGCACCCTGCACGGAGGAAACAAGGAGGCTGGACGCTGGGGATACGAAGTCCTGGTTCCGCCAAGGTCGCCTGAGCCGATGGGCCCAGGGGTCCTCCCGGATCCAGGCCAAGCCCCGCCCCCCAGTTGGCCGCTGAGCCCTGAACTCAGAGGCGGAAGTGGGGCCGCCCGAGAGTGGCGCGAGGGCCGGGGGCGTGTCCGACCCCTTCCCCAATGGGGACCGGCCTACACTGGGCGTAGCCCAATGAGGCCGTAGGAGGACGGGACCAAGGCGAGTTCCTCCAATCGACAGGTCCAAAGCCTCCACCTCCCTCCATAGGTTGGACGGGGAGGGGCGGGCCCGAGCGCTCTCGCCCAATGGGCGGTGGCCCGAGGGGGCGTGGCGCGGCGTGAAGGCCCGCTTGTCCAGTGACCGGCGCCGCTGGTCGGGCGGCCGGCGCAGTCGTGTCGTCGGCCGCGTCTGCAGCATGGCCGGCCTGGGGCGGCCGGATGCGTGCCCGCGTGCCGCGATCCCCGCCTGGAAGCGGGAGATCCTGGAGCGCAGGCGGGCCAAGCTGGCCGCCCTGGGCACAGGCCCGGCGCCCGCCGTGGCCCCCGAAGGCTCCGCCGAGCCGCTGGTGGTGGCCGAGAGCCTGGGCCCGCTGCGGGAGAACCCATTCATGCGGCTCGAGTCGGAGCGGCGGCGCGGGGCGCGTCCGGCGCAGCCGCTGCTGGAGCTCTACTGCCGTGTGCCGGGCGTGCGCACCATCCGCGCCGACAACATCCTCATCATCGAGTCTGCGCCCGGCTTCCCGCCCGCCGCGCCGCCGGCCGCCGGCATCCGCGCCGCCGAAGTGCTGGTGTTCGAGGCGCCGCCGCCCGGCCGTGTCAGCCGCCTGCTGGAGAAGTTCGACCCGACGGCCGCGCCGCGCCGCCACGGCAGCTCCGAGTGCGCCCGGCCCGTGCCGCCTACACCACCGGCCCCTGGCCCGCGCGCGCTCGCCCCCTGGCCCGCCGCTCCCCCAGATCCGCCACTCGCGATCCCCGGCCCGGCTGCACCCCCAAGTCCGCCGCCTGCGACCTCCCTTTCCCGCGGGGGCCAGCGCAACGCCCGCTGCGAGCCCGGGCGTCCCGGAGGCGGGGCCGGCCCCCGGTCCCGGCGCAACGACTTCCTGCAGAAGACTGGAAGCAACTCCTTCACCGTCCACCCCCGAGGCCTGCCCCGCAGCGCTGGCGCACGTCTGCTCCCCAACGGAGCCTCGGCCCTCGAGCCCCGAGCCCGCCCTGCCAACGGGCTCGTGGGCCCCGCGCCTACGCCGGGCGAATGGAAGCCAAAGGTGGAGTCGGGGGAGCTCCCCCTCCACCCGCCCCCCAGCCCCGGGACCCCGAGTGCCACTCTAGCCGCGTCCCCTGCCTTCCCAGCCCGGGAGCCCAGCCGTGCCAGTGCCACTCCAAACCGGGTCTCCTCCGCCACCAGCGCCAACAACTCCTTCGAGATAAGGCCGGCCCCCAAGCCAGACATGGACACCATCCCCTTGGGGGACCTCCAGGCGCTTGCCTTGGCCTCGCTCCGTGTGAACTCCCGCAACTCCTTCATGTTCATCCCCAAGTGGAAGGTCTCTGAGGCCCTTCCCGAAAGGAGGCAGTCTGTGGAGCTGCCAAAGGGAGCGGCGAACCCGGTCTCTCAGAGCCAGGAGCTTGGAGTCCAGCCGGCACCCGGAGAGGATGGTGCATCTGCCCTGGGAAGCAGCCCCTTGAGGGTTGAAGTGCAGTCAGCTGTTGATGGGGGCTGCCCCCGGCCAGCCACTGCCCTCACAGACCGGGCTGTTACGCGGCAGAGGCCATCCTCGCCACCCCTCTTCCTCCCGACCACTGCTGAAGCTGAGCCTGCTGTGGGCTTGGGGATTCCCGGCTTGGCCAAGAATGTCGGGGAGCCTGGGATGCCAGGACTGCCCGTCACCTTCATTGATGAAGTGGACTCGGAGGAGGAGGCCCCGCAAGAAGCCAAAGTGCCCTGCTCAGGGGCTGGTGTGCCTCCGCAGTACCACCTGCACCCTTCCGGGCCCGGGCACATCTCGGAGCTCCAGCACCGGGGCAGTAACACCTTCACGGTGGTGCCCAAGAGGAAGCCAGGGACTCTGCAGGAGCTACACTTCAGTCAGGCCAATGGAGAGCCCCAACCACAGGAGGGTGAGGAAGGGGAGGCCAGGAGCCTCTTGGGGCCCCAGGCCTTGAAGATCACATTAAAGAAGCGCTACCCCACCGTGCACGAGATCGAGGTGATTGGTGGCTACCTGGCCTTGCAGAAGTCCTGTCTCCTCAAGCCTGGCTCCTCGAGAAAAAAGGTCAGGGCGGGGCGGGCTGCCAGCAGTACTGAGTGATGTAGAAGGTGTGGGAGCTGTGTGTAGTTGGAGCCTTGTTTCCGGGTACCTGGCTTGACAGCAGGGGGCTTCTCCAGGGACCAGAGAGCTGGGCGGTGTGGCTGTGCCAGGACCAAGCCCTGTGGGAGCCGAGGTGTCCTGGGGTCTGGGGATGTTGACCCACTGTGCACCTCGCAGGGGTGGGGCAGGAAGTGTGAACCTCCTGCTGGCTCTTAGGGCTCCAGCTGGAATTAGCTGGGCAGGCCAGAACCCTTGTGGGTCAGCTGGAAGAAACAGTCTGGGCCTGTTGATTGTGCCCTGGTCTGGCTTGTGCAGGTGGCTGGGGTCAGAGGGCCTTGGAGGAGGGATAGGAATCAGTGGTATCAATGTGGTCAAACCCCTCCTTGAGGCAACTCCCAGCATAGCTCCTCTGACAGCTAGGGAACACACCCTACCCCCCCCCAACCCCCCCGCCCCGCACAGGGGCCTGGAGTTGGCAGGTCCTGGCCTGTGTGCAGGTGTGGACGGCACTTAGGTGTGTGTCAGGCCTGGCCTGGAGGCGCCTTGGGCAGAGAGACCCAGTGCCTCCCAGCTAGAGGCTCCAGCCAGAAGCCAGCTGAACCACAACTTCCTGGCCAACCCAGGCCGAAGCCTGGAACCCTCTGGGCACAGGGAAAACATTCCTCAGGCTCTTCCTCATTGTTTCTGGACTTGTGCTTGTCCTGGGGGCAAATTCCAAGGCCAGCCCTAAATGACTCTGTCAGGTGCTGCCCAGGCAGGTGTGCCTTTCCTTGTAGCTCGCCTGGCGCCTGTGGCACACCTGAGCCCGCTGGAGCCTAGGATCCCCCCAGCCACCTCTCTTTCCAGTTTCCTTGGGGAGACAGGGTAGTGATTGTGCCTTGTGGCTCCCTGTAAGCAGACCTGTTCTCCCCTGTCTTTTGGTTTTTTCTCCCTCGTGCTTCCTGCTCCATCCTGCCTGTAGTATCTTCCCATATTTGGGTAGGGGCATTGGCCTCCAGTTGGCTCCATCTGCCTCACTGGGCATCCATGAGGACCTCCACATGGGCCCGTCCTCTCACCTAGCCACCCGCCCCCAGTCCCTCCTGCCTGCTTGCCTCCTTCTCCCTCCCTGTTCCCTGATCCTGACCTTGGCTGCTGTAAGAGGCAACCCTCGCTCCATTGTTGCCCCAGAGGTAGGAAGGATGGCAGTGCCCCTTGTGTAGACGAGGAGACTGGGGCTTATAGGGTCATGGAGCTTATTGGGCAGGAGCTGAGTTCCTGTCTCCAGAGCCCTACCCCTTCCCCTATCCTGGCTTGCCCCCCACCCCCCATCAGCCTGGCTTCTCCTGGGACTTGAGGGCTGCTACCAAGAGCCTGGTCAGCCTGCCTCCTACCATGCACAAAGCCATAGGGGTCACTTGTGGCTAGGTTGGGGTGAGAAGGACAGGGTGGGGCTCAAGGACCAGCAGGAGTAGAAGGAGTAGTGGGAGGCGAAGCTGGGACAGAGAAGAGGCCCTGCCCTAGCAGCCTGCCCTGGTGTCTGTGCCAGCCTGAGGGCTGGGGGTCCAGATGGAGAATGGCTGGCATGGCCATCCTGCTGGCTGTGATGTCTTGCCTGTGTGTGCACCAACTGCCATACCCAGCGAGACCTGTGTGCCTGCTGGGCAGGGATGGGCCTGAGGCTGTCCGCCTCTTGAGCACCGCACAAGGCAGGGCACCATTACTCTGCTCCTTGGTGTCCCTCCTGCCTGCAGCCCTTGGGCTATGAGCACCCAGGATGGGGACCCAGGATGGCCCCCTGGCTGCTCCAGCCAGCCTGTGATTGGGTCACTTTCCTGCTTCTTCTTCCCCTGTGAGAGATTGGGTGGGCTGGGTGGATTGCTCACTTGGTCCCCCTGTGGCTGCTGCCCCCAAGGAGGTGGTGGGAGTGGCTGGTGCCTTTCTCAGGGTGCAAGTGAGGGGCAGCTCAGCAGATGGTATCATGCCCTTGCCTGGCCTTGGGGGATTGCAGCCCTGCTCTGGATTGAGAGCTGCCTCCTCTAGCCTGTGCTCCTAGAAGGCTGCCTGGCAGGGGACATTCACAGGTAGGTTCTCTGTTGGCAGAGGAGCCGGGTGCCGTCCCTCCCTTCAGGCCAGGCTTTGGGCTGACTGCTGTAGGTTGCTGCAGCCCCACTCCCACCCCACTTCCTGGCAGGTGGGGTGTTCTCTCGTTCTCACATCCACTCCCGTGGGACTGGGCGCTGTCAGCCTGTCCTCTTTGTGGAGTGCCACCTGGCCTGGCTCCTTCCTGTCTGGCCGCTTCTTCCCTCCCCACCTCTTAGTCCTCTGTCCCAGAGCTTGCCTGCCACCCTCCAGAGGCCTGCCACCCTCCTGCAGTAGTTTCTACCCTAACTTTCTACCCTCCTGTCTGCAGACCTGAGGGCTACCACCTCCCACCACCCCACCCTGCAGCCCGGCATGCTGCCCCTCCCTGCCTCCCTCCTCCAGGTGTTCCCCAGCCCCCTCCCCCACCTTTCCCACCGGCGCGCCATGGCCTTTCTGGAGCCCGGAACCCCAGGAATGGTGTGGCCCCTGTTCAGCCAGTGCCTCAGGGAGCAAGCGGCTGTGGACATCCCAGCTGGGCCAGTGTGGTCTTGTGTTCGGTCACTCCTGGGAATGTTGAGTGGGGGATGGGAGGCAGCAGGTGGTGGGGCAGACTGAGCCCAGCTCGCTGGCCCTGAGTCCAGGGCGGACGCCCTTCAGTAACCCAAGCTGGGCATGCACAGGCAGGGAGGTCTGAGAGAGAACAAAAGAGCCCTGTGAAAGTCTAGGTTCTGCGCCACCTGCCTGCACGCTCTGTGTGACGGGCAGAGTCCCCTGAAGCGGGTGACTGGACTGTACCGCACTGGTCCTTGACCACATACACTCACCCATCCCGTCAGGGGTCCAGAGGCTGTGCCCCACCCCCAGCAGCATGAGTCACACAGTGTCCCGTGACCCACTGACCGGGGCTCTGAGGGTGGCAGGATGTGACCAGGCCCTGGGCAGCAGCTGAGGGCAGCCAGCCTGTGAGCACCACCCCTCCCCCAGCCAGGCTGTGCCAGGCTCCATGCCCACGAGTGCCCAGCTCCCTTGGCCTCCTGCACAGAGCTGGTCATGTGGACTAATGAGGGCGCACTAATCCGGCTGGCCCCTGGCAGCTCCTCCTTCCTGGGTGCTTGGTGGGGGATGGGCGGGGGTCAGCAGGGATAGCACCACATATCCGGGCCTGAAGGGGGCCTCCCTTCCCATAGGGCCTGCCAGTTGCATGCTGCTCGGATCCTCCTGGGTATCTGTCTGGAGGACTAGTGACACCACCCCCAAGCCACCTGGTGGGGGCTAGGTCCCTGTGGGCTCTGGTGGCTGCTCCACCATCCTGGCCCATGCCTTGCCCAGCCTCCCATGAGACCACAGCTGGAGGACTGGGCAGCCCCACCAGAAGCCAGGGCAGGGCAAGGGACAGTGTGCCTTCCCACGTCGGGCAGCCTGGAAGTCTGCCCATCTGTGCAGAAAGCCCAGGTACAGGGCCAAGTGCTGTGAGTGTCCTGGGATGGGAACTGCGGGCGCTCAGGCACCCCCAAGCCCCTCCCTGGTGTGGAACGTGGTGTCCCTTGCTGTGGGCAGGGACAGGAGGCAGGAGTATGTGCCTTTCATGCTAGTGCCCTGTTCCTGGGGGCCATAGGTGCCCTCCCAGTGGTCTGTGCCAGACTCCTTGCTGCCCCGTTCCACCGCAGCTGCCTGGGGTGGGCCTGACCCTCCTGCCAGGCCTTGTTCTCCTGCTGCACTTGGGCTGTCCTGGTTCTCTGCCTGGGGCCGCTCCTGCCTCAGCTCCTTTCAGGGGAGGCGGGGGAACTTGAGCTGGCTGCTGGTGTCCTGTGCCCAGGAGTTTAATATTTCGAGCCCCAGCAGGGCTGTCCCCATCTGCCACAGGCAAGTGGCTGCTCATATTCATTACCGACCTGCTGGGTCTGAGCTGAGCAGACTGTAGGAGCTCAACTCCCAAGAGCAGCCAAGTCCCCAGCATGGCCTGGCCCCAAGCTCACCCCTCCATCCCAGGTCGACAGAGGGGATCCTGACTGAGGGCACTCTCGGCTCCCTGGCCCCGCCAGCCTGTCACCATCGTGGCCGGGCGCAGGCCCTAGGAAGGGAGACTGAGCGGGCAGCAGGGCTGGGATTGCTCGGCCTGTGGAAGCGGTCCTGGTGCTGCATTCCCAGGCACTGGCCCCTCTTGTAGCCCTCGGCAGAGTGATGGCTTCTGCTTGGCAGGACAGGACGTGAATTTGGCTTTGGGAGTTATGGTACCATGTGCTGAGGGGGAGGATGGGTGGCCCAGGCTCAGGTGTGGGGAGCTCCTCCCAACTGGGGCCCCTGGAGAGCTGAAGATGCCCTTCAGCACCCCTGCACCCAGCCCCGCAGGGGCCCTGCCACACGTGCCTCTCTCCCCAGATGAAGATATCCTTCAATGACAAGAGCCTGCAGACAACCTTCGAGTACCCCTCCGAGAGCTCACTGGTGCGGGAGCAGGAGGGGGATTCTGAGGAGGAGGAGGGAGAGGAGGAGGAAGAGGAGGAGAATCACAGTGCTGAGAAGCCCTATGCCCTTTTTCTGCCCCGGGCCACATTTGTGAGCAGTGTGGGACCTGAGAGTCCCCGGCTGCTGGACAGCAACTCTGGTGAGTGCCCACCTGTTGGCATGGGCAGCGTGGGGGGCGTGGAGCTGGGCCAGTCACCCACTTGTCCACATGTTCCTGCACGTGTTCCTTGGCTCACAGACCTGTCCAGCTATACTCCCAAGCACTCCGTGGCCTTCAGCACATGGCAGGAACAGACACTGGCACAGGCCCCAAGTGCGATGGAGCCCCCCCAGAAGGAGGTGATGGTGAGTCGGGCAGAGCAGGGCTGGATGCCCACAGCCCCAGGGCCATCTGGCAGGAGTGGGGGTGGTGACTTCTGGACGAGACTCACTGGCTGCATTCTGTCTTCTGTCAGCTCACACCTGCCAGTCAGGATGACCTCTCGGACTTCCGCAGTGAGCCAGCCCTTTATTTCTGATCCTCAGCTGTGGAGCCCAGGAACTGACTGCATTCTGCACCCCCTTCTTTCCTGTGGCTGGGATGTGCCGGCCTGGGAAGCAGCAGGGCTCCTGCTGTTGGGGCCAGGTCTCTCTGGGGCTCACTCCAGGTTAGGGGCTCCAAGAGTGGTGACAGGAGGTGCCTGTGGGGAGGGCCAGGTCCTACTGGATGGTGGTTCACCGGTGACCAAGGGCCCCAGGCTGCCCTCTGTCCTGCTGCCAAGGCTGTCTCCCAGCCCCTCCCTGCTGTGCCCAAGCACTGTCAGGCATGTCCCAGATGAGGGGCTGCTGTTCTCTGGAGGACTCCAAGGCCCCCCCCAAGCTAACATTCCCACCCTTTATGATAGATGGCAGCTTTTTTTTTTTTTTTTTTGGTACCGGGGATCGAACTTGGGTCCTTGTGCTTGCGCAGCAGGCGGCAAGACTACTGAGCTACATCCCCGGTCCAGATGGCAGCTTTTGCCTCTGATGTCGGACCCAATAAACAGCACTGGACAAAGCTGCTTCCTGTTTAGTGTTCCGCCTGGCATGGGGATGGGGCCAGTGTGGGCGCCTATGCTGGGAAGGCATCAGGTGGCCCAAACTAGTACCCTTGCACCTTGATGCTTAGGCTCTTGCCGTCCGCATAGCCTGTTCCCCGCCCTCTATCCCCACGTCTTAGATGCCACATCGTGGGTAAAGCTGGCCTGCAGTGCGGAGTCTGGAACGCCCGTGACCCAGGGTAGAGGGAATGTTGCTGCTGTTTGGTTTTAAGTAGCTTCCCAGAGAGGCTACTGCCTGAGTAGGACAGAGTGTGTGCTGCACAGGAGCAGGCTGGGGTTGGAAGCAAGGTTGTGGCAGCAGATGGCTCCTGAGAGGCCTGGCTGGTGTGTCCCCCTTGAGATATGCTCTCAGCTGCCTGGGCAGCTACAGTCCAGAGGTGGGGTGGTCTAAGGTCCAAAGGCAAAACTTCCTCAGGTGTCAAATGTGTCTGTCTTCATCCTGGAGAGTAGAATCCAGTACAGAGATGCTGCCTAATGGATCAGGAGGGAGGGGAGTGTGTCTCTCGTGGTTCCCCAGGAGGGGTGGGCCCAGCTTTCTCTGGATCCTCTCAGTACCTGCTTCCCATCCAGCTCCTGGGCAGCTGGGCCTCAGTTACTGAGGCTAATAGGGCTCAGAGCAGGATGGGAGTGGGTCACACCTCATGAATGGCTGCAGGAAGGGGGACATTAGGCCCTGGCAGCTCTGGTGGTATCTTAGGCCAAGCAAAACTTGGCACTACGGAAGGGAACAGGGTGAAGGCCCTCAGTCCTTGCTGAGAGAGACCTAGGTCCAGAGTGGCTGGTGTGCACACTCGGCAGTCACCAGCAGTCCCTGGGACAGGCTATGCTAGGCACTCTGGTGTGGCAGAGCCCCTCACTCGAGGATGGGCTGCATGCCGGATGCAGGGGAGAGCCCCAGTGGTCCTGCTGGGAGAGCTTAAGGCTGCTGCCGCCCTGTACCCTCAGCTCTTGTGTCCCCAAGAACAAAGAGGCAGTCACAAGGCACTGCAGTCCCTCCTCTCCTCTCCCTCAAAGACCCACCACAGCTGGGCAGGGCTTGTGCTCAGACTGCAGATGTCTGGCAACCTACACTCCAGGCAGGCAGCAATCTGGCACAGATCTTTGCAAACATAACTTTTATTGATAGTCATCAGCCATGTGGGCAGGCCCTGAGATTTGGAACCTGGGTCCCCACTAGCTGAGAAGGGACAAAGTGAAGGCTCCCACAGTGATGAGTCTAGACTAGGACCAAGACCTCTGGCACACCAAAGGAGTACGGAGCCCTCAGAGGCTCCATGTGGAGCGGACCTAGAGCCCACTGTCCCATACCCCAAGTGGAGAGAGCGAGACTCCACCCATGGGCTGTGCCAAGGGCTCTTGTCGCCCAAGGCCAGTGGCAATCCAGCTGCTCCTCTGGGCATCTGAAGTGTGAGGAGGCAGCTTCCACCATGAAGAATAAAAATGCTTCAAGACAGATGTGTGGGGGGCTGAGTTGTCATAGGCACGGCAGAGACGGCCCACCCAGGCTTGTCAGCTGTCCTTGCCTCCACTGCTCTTCTGGTCCGAAGCTGTGGCCTTGGTCAGGTTCCCAGCCTCTCTCTTCAGGACACTAAGCAGAGTCTGCGAGCTCTCCAGGATCTGGGGCCACAGAAGCAAAATGGGTTGCCTCTGTTCCGTCTGTTGGAAGGTCCCACCGCCCAAGCCTCACACTTGGGTGCCCGATCATGGGCGCTGTGTCTAACTGGGCCAAGGAGGGCAGGCACAGCCCTCTTCCCTCCTGCGCCTGCCCCACACCCCATGCTCCCACCCTGCAAAGGAAGGCTGTGTCAGCCCCACACTGCTCCTCGTGCTGAGCGGAATGAACACAGTTGAGGACCCTGCCCACGCTGGGCCCAACAGAAAGCCCCATTGTCCCTGCCTGCAGCGGCCCAAGTCACGCCGCCCCAGCCCCAGATGCCAGCGAGGCCCACGGCCCGCGGCTGGAGCCCCACCTTGAGGTAGGCCGCCTCCGTCTCCGCGATGGTACGGTCAAACTCGTTCCGAGAGGCGATCTTGCGCGCCAGGTTCTCGTTGACGCGGGCCAGCTTCTCCGTCAACTGCCTCACCTCGTTCTGCAGCCGCTGCTTCTCCTCCTCCTCCTGCTGTATCTGCTGGCACAGCTCCTCCCGCTTCTGACACAGGTCCTCGATGCCTAGGGCGGGCGGCGACAATGCTGCGGGCCCGGGCTGAGGACGGTGCTGGGGGCGGGCACCGGGCACCCGCCCCCCGCCCCGACCGGGGCCAGACCTCCGCCCGCTCTCCCCTGCTCACACTTGACCAGCTCGTTGTTGTAGTTCTGCAGCGCCGCGCCCTGTTGGGTCATGGTGGGTGCCGCTCCACGCCACTCTAACCGACGCCCTCGCCGGGACGTCCGCGCCTCCGCGTCTTCGCCGCGCGCCTATCGTGTGCGTCCGGCGGCGTGCCGCGTCACGTTTTGCGTCATCCCTCCGCGCCGCGCCGGGCGGATCTGGAAGCTAGTGGCCGCCGATGGAGACTGAGGAGGCGGCTGTGGTGGCAGCGCCGGTGTCTGGGGACGGCAACCCCGTTCCTGGACAGGAGCTGTTCGTGGCCTGGAATACAGTGAGCACCGGGCTGGTGCCGCTGGCTCTGCTGGGGCTGGTGAGGCTCAGGAAAAGAGCGGCGGGCCGTGTGGAGTTCCCGGGACCCTGCGCGCTTTAGGGCGTCCTGTTTGGGGTCCATCCGGCTCCGTCCACGGACCACAGCAGTCCTTCCTCCTTCTGTTGGCCCGCCTAGTTCAGCTGCCCTGGCAGCCCTCTCTAGCGTCGGCTGCGGGTGGGGGCGTGGGGTTTCTGCATCCTCCCTTCGGTTCCGTCCCTCTCCCGCCTCTTCCCTTCTCTGTGTTGTATTCTCTTTCCGCACCGTTTTCCAAACTCCAGGGATCTTCCCGGACTAGCGGTGCGGTTCCACGAAAGGAGGAGGAGCTCCGTGCGGCTGTGGAGGTTTTGAGGGGCCACGGTCTGCACTCTGTCCTGGAGGAGTGGTTCGTGGAGGTGCTGCAGAACGATCTTCAGGCTAACATCTGCCCCGAGTTCTGGAATGCCATCTCCCAGCGCGAGAACTCTGCCGACGAACCCCAGGGCCTTCTGCTGCTCCTTGACGCTTTCGGCCTGCTGGAGAGCCGCCTGGATCCCTACCTGCGCAGCCTAGACCTTTTGGAGAAATGGACTCGCCTGGGCTTGTTGATGGGCACTGGTGCTCAGGGGCTCCGAGAAAAGGTCCACACCATGTTGCGGGGGGTCCTGTTCTTTTCCACCCCTCGGACCTTCCAGGAGATGGTCCAGCGCCTCTATGGGCGCTTCCTGAGAGTCTATATGCAGAGTAAAAGGAAAGGGGAAGGGGGCACAGACCCGGAACTGGAAGGAGAATTGGACAGCCGGTATGCCCGCCGCCGGTACTATCGGCTCCTGCAAAGCCCACTGTGTGCAGGATGTGGTAGTGACAAGCAGCAGTGCTGGTGCCGCCAGGCCCTGGAGCAGTTCCACCAGCTCAGCCAAGTCCTGTGAGTACTGCCTGGTGGCTGTGCCCTTGTCCCTCCTGATTTCTTGCTTGCTTCTCTAGAACCAGCCGCCCTCTACAGGAGCTGGTGAGCTGACTAGGGAAGATGGCGTCTCTTCCACATGTTCTGATAGCCTGGAACATGAGAGAGGGAAGGTCCCAAGGGTCCCTGTTCAGCAAATTTATGCTCTGTCCCAGACACGTGTGTGTCTCTTCTGACACCTTCCCCAGGGTTTCGGCTTTACTTTTGCTGGGATCCCGCATAGCTTATGTCTACAGTAGCAGATTTGATTCCAAGTCTCCTGGCTTTACAAAAATCTGCTGTGCTTTTCGTAGACTCTTTGAGAGAGAAAAGACGCCCACTTTTGTGGGAGTTTGTACTTCCTAACTGAACAATGGGCTAGCTATTTCTTCTTTTCAGAATGTGTCAGATTAAACAAGTGTATGGGCATGCAGATTTCCTTCCCAGTCCTTCAGAGAGGAGAAGATCTCATTAGAGCCAGGTCTCATTGTAATCTCCAGGGACTATCACACCTTCTGTGGCAACTGGTGGTGGTTTGTCATGCTGAACAGAGTGCAGTAATGTAGCTGGAAGTCTTTTAGGTTGGTTGAGGGGGTGATCTTGTTGTTGGTAGGGGTCAGATATTTCAACATGCATAAGTGCTAAGGGCTTCTGCTGGGTTTATACCAGGTGAAAGTTATATGGCAACCTTTCTCCTCCCAAGGTCTATTTGCCACTGTAGACTGGGCTCTGCCTGAAAATTTAGGCATCAGCAGCTGTAATTTGTGCAGCAGGGAGTGATGTATCAATGCCCTCACTAGCCAAACCTTGGGTTCTGGTAGCTATCTCCTGCCACTGGTCACATGGGATGGCCAGCTGGGCAGGAAGTGCTCTGTCCTGCCAGCAGCTTTTCCTTGAAGCCATTGGTACAGTTTCCCCCCGTCCAGGAGGGCTGCAGGGTTATGGGCACCGGGTGTGTTCTGCAGGTGGGGCCATCCTGGGTGAGGGGCTGGTGTGCGCCTTGGGTGCTCCATGGGCAGGGCTTTCCTTTAGGCACAGACTCAGTCTGCTGGAGCGGGTCAGTGCAGAGGCAGTGACCACTACCCTGCACCAGGTGACTCGGGAGAGGATGGAGGACCGCTGCCGGGGCGAGTATGAGCGTTCCTTCCTGCGTGAGTTCCACAAGGTAACGACTCCCTTCTTTGAGCTGTGCCCTAATAGGGCTGGGAACAGGTGTGTAGCAAACCTGCCCCTGGCTGCTTGAGAAGCAACCCAAGCCGGAGTACTGAGTAGACCAGGACTGAGGGGTAGTTAGAGCTGCCTTGGTGCTAGGTAGAAGTCTGTCTTTCTGTGCCCTCGCATTCATTAGCAAGGATGAGTCTGGCATGTGTTTGACAGGTCTGTGCTGAGTGCTGTGGCTGGAGGCAGTACAAAATCCAGACTTCCTAGGGCCTTCTGGCAGGCACGGCAAGGCCAGGCTCACTGGTGGGGGCAGTGCCCAGAACTTCTCTTCTTTGTTCTTTTCCTTGAGTGTGGGCTCACTTGACTTCCCTTGTGGACTGACCGACCACCATCTTGCTCCCTAGCATGGAACTGGGGTGTCCCAGTGGGGCACAGGGTGCCCAAGCTGTTGGTTTTCTGTGGTTCTGTTCTTGCTTCTCCCATGTCCTCTTCCCTGCCACTTTCAGGCATCTCTGCCCTGAGGATATAGATTAGCCACATGGGGCCAGTGTTCAAAGTGAGTATCCCTAGGGCTGTGGCCTAGAGTGAGCATGAGCCCTGGGGGCTCGGGTGCCCTGAGGTGGAGGAGGTGAGCTGTGCCTGTGGTTGGCTCGTCTGTGCATCTGTGTGGCCCATTGTGGATCTGCATGTGCTTAAGAGAGGACTTCATCTTACGCTGCATCGTTTGCACAGGGGCTCATTAGTCACGTCTGAAGTCCAGAGAGTGGGTCTGTCTGCCCACTACCTGCCAGACACTATATGGAGGCTGTGTGCAATCTTGTCACACTGGGGTCCCTATTTCCAGAGACAGGAGTGGACACTGATGTGCATGAGAGGAGGTGAAGATTGATGGGATTAGGGACACCCATTGGGTACAAGTTTCATTGTCCTTATGTCCTCCTGTTGCAAGCCCCTTCAGGGCTCCCCTCAGCCCTGGGCAAAGGGTGGGGAGTGGCTGGGTTGGGCAGAGCTCGCTCAGCGTCCCCATACCTCACCTGCCAGTGCTCTCCCACAGTGGATCGAGAGGGTCGTTGGCTGGCTGGGCAGGGTGTTCCTGCAGGATGGCCCCACTCGGCCTGCATCCCCTGAGGCTGGAAACACATTGCGCCGGTGGCGCTGCCATGTGCAGAGGTTCTTCTACCGGATCTATGCCAGCTTGCGCATCGAGGAGCTCTTCAGCATCATCCGAGGTCAGTCCCTCCTTCCCCACCCGTGAAGGGCCTCTCTGCCAGTCTGGGATCTTCCCAGCAGCTTGGCTGTGTCCTCCTCCTTGTCCACACTGGGGCTTCCCGAGGAGCTGGACCTCCACCGAGGCCCCAGGTATGATTCGGGGGTGTGCACTCTGCTCCCTCAGCCTTGGTCCCTTCCCAGAAACGGCCCTTTTGTTTCTTTGGTCTGGGAGGTTGTCATGGTCAGACATTTCAGCATGCATAAATGTCAAGTGTGGTGTCCATTTCCTGGCAGGTGGCTCTTGTCCTGAGCCTCTGCATGGCCATGTGAACTCTTGTGCACCACATACATCCTTCACTGGCCCCACGCTGGTGTGTATGCACACTTCCATGCAGCCTTTCCCTAAAGGCCGAGCCTTTTCTTCCAGACTTCCCAGACTCCAGGCCAGCTGTTGAGGACCTCAAGTACTGCCTGGAGAGGACTGATCAGAGACAGCAGCTGCTCATATCCCTCAAGGCTGCCCTGGAGACACGGCTCCTCCACCCAGGTGCCTTTGTGGCCACAGCCAGCTGACCATCCAGCCCTGGATTTGTAGGCAATCGGTTGAGGTTCTCAGGGGAGATGGAGGACCTTCAGCTTCATCCCTCTTTAGAGAAAGTCAGGACTGGGCTTGGTCTAGGGTTGTGTGTGGTTTTTTCAGAGTTGACTGAAAGGAGGAGGAAAGTTCTGGAGAAAGCACTCATAAATGGGTGGAAAGAGGATGGGTGCCTGAGGAATGGCTCTCTACATTCACCCTGGCCCCCAGAAATGAGGTCATGGCAGTGCCCCTAGATACCTGACCAGTGTGGTCAGCTGCCCACTTGGGTGCTGGCACTGGGGATACCGTTGTCCAGAATGTTATATGACCTCAGGCCCTTCCTCCTGGCTGTAGGTGTCAACACATGTGACATCATCACTCTCTACATCTCTGCCATCAAGGCGCTTCGGGTGCTGGACCCTTCCATGGTGATCCTGGAGGTGGCATGTGAGCCCATCCGCCGGTACCTGAGGTGAGGCTGTGCTCCTATGAGCCCCTGACACTCTTTGCCCTAGTCCCACTGAGCTCTTTGTGGGGCTCATGGAGGCTGAAGGATGCTTGGCTCTTGGGAAGCCAATGGTACAAGGTTTTTCCTAGCTGGGCTGAGTGGGTTTCCTTCCCTTTGTCTGTGCTAGGAGCCTATCCTTGTCCCCACATCAAGGGCCCTGTGTGCACAGTGACCGGGGGCCCCTCCTTAATCATCATCCCCTAGCACAGAGGTCCTGGCAGACCAGGGAAGAAGGCTTGACCCTGCGCCACCTTGGCCTTCCCATGGCAAGGAACAGGGACAGCCACAGGCGGTAGATGAGGGGAATGGGTTTGAACAGATGTCAACACAGCTCCCCAGAAGCCCCGGGCTCAGGGCTGTCGGTGCCAGGGACCCCTGGAGCTGAGCCACAGCAGCTGGTAGGGTCTGACATCT